ATATATATATATATATAATCTCACTCTTCACGTCACATGTGGCTCTCTGATGGGAGAGCATAGGAAAAGGTGGATATCTAATCTTAATTCCTTTTCTCTAACCCAAATTACCCCACATCCACCTAACCCTTTTTCAAGCACAGAGCCTCCTTAACGCAGCAACACAGGTTTTCAGCATCCAAGGGGAGGTACGGACCTCTTCCGCCACGCCAACACCAAGCAACTCTCAAAGCCAGCGTTTCTGCTTAGGATTGCGAATTTTGCTTTGGTTTCCTTTTCTTACCTCCCAACTTTCCTGTCTTGTAGGCCAACAATCCTGTATGCAGGTTTAGTTATGGCTGTGTGGTTGTTTTTTCCTCTTTGTGGTTGATGCCCCTCCAGTGTATTGGGTTAATTACCACTATACAGCTTTGGTTGCCCCCCTTTTTATCCTGAATTGTATAAAAGAATGGACTCTAGGCGTTGAAACGTCAGTGCAGAGTTCCTACATCCTTTTCTTTTGGTTTTGAGTTTGCTCTTGCACTGGCCATGAGTCGCATAGTCTATCTGAGAGTCTATCTCAGTAGATCCAAATTTCTAAAACTGTTCCTTTTTATTAACATTCTTTCTAAGGCATGTCAGTAAAATTCCTAATGAAGATCTGAAATTCCTAAAGACTGAGTTAGCTGTAGGGAGCCTGTGTGTTTGTTATTGGCAGAGCTCCACTTCTAGAAAGGTATCGATGATGTCTTTCCTGTCTTTTGTCATTTTCAGGTCTCCCTCTCCGGAGCCCATCTACAACAGCGAGGGCAAGAGGTTGAACACCCGCGAGTATCGCACACGAAAGAAGATCGAGGAGGAGCGCCACTCCCTCATCACCGAGATGGTTGGACTCAACCCGGACTTCAAGCCTCCTGCCGACTACAAGTAGGATTTCTTTACTTGTTTTTGTCTATAGGCCCAGTCTGTGTTAATATGTTCAGCGTCGTGACCAGTGGCTGTTATAGTTGTCTGGGCAACTTTGTCCATGCAAGCTGCGAAATGATGGTAATAGTCTGAAGTTCTACCATTTGGATGGAGTTGAATGTGATTTATAGAAATCATAAAGTATATCTGCATTTTGTCTTACTAAACAGCACAAAGAATGATACTATGCCCGTCTCCAGCCTTTAACCCTCTGAACTCTAAGCTGTGTTTTTGCTCCTGTCACATTCTTCCCTCTGTGGCCTCATTCTTACTGTAATATAAAGTCCTGCTCCTCTATGGAAACAGCACAATCATCGCTAGAAGTGGAGAGATCTCAGAAATGTCTTTTGTGCAGTGTAACACAGTTACAATGCCATAAATCTTAATAAAGAAAAAACGCAAGTTAAATTTCTTTGATAACGTCTTTTATAAATAATGGAAAACAATGGAATCTATATAACCAACACTTCCTAGTTGCGCAGAAGTTAATGCTTTTTACAGGATCTGGATAAACAAAATGTTTATTTGTAGAGAGATTTTAACTGAGGCATGTAGAATATAATGTTTTTGATGAAATATAAAAAAAAATTGTGAGCTTTGTTTTGGTTGCTCTTTCTGACTGATGTGTTAAAGGACCGTAGGAACTATGACAATCTGGTAATGAAGGTTTTTACAACTTCTGGCTAGGATAAACGCTGTAGTTTTGGCAATTGTTCAAAGAAAACATGCTTTTCAATCCCGCTGGCAGGTTTCGCGGTTCAGAGGGTTAATTGACGTATCCTAAAAAATAAAGCTGAAACACAAATCTTCAAAAGGTGATCAATGCTCCTTCTCAATGTTTTTCTTGTCTTTCTTTCCCGCAGACCTCCAGCCACCAGAGTCAACGACAAAGTTATGATCCCCCAAGACGAATACCCCGAAATCAACTTTGTCGGTCTGTTAATCGGGCCACGGTAAACGAGATGAAATATTACTATCATGTTGCCTTTTGTCACTGCCAGTACAGTCGAGGGTGAGCTTAGCGTGTCGCTTTTTGTTCCCTTTTTGGTTTTACCAGTGGTAATACGCTGAAGAACATCGAGAAGGAGTGCTGCGCCAAGATCATGATCCGGGGTAAAGGTTCTGTGAAGGAGGGGAAGGTAGGCCGAAAGGACGGACAGATGCTGCCGGGGGAAGACGAGCCTCTGCACGCGCTGGTCACCGCCAACACAATGGAGAACGTCAAGAAAGCCGTGGAGCAGGTTAGATCCCCTCATCAGGCTCCTAGTGGACGTTGCCCGTTTGCTCAGCTCCTAAATGACCTTCATGCTGACAAATTTATGTCCACAGATTCGCAACATTCTGAAGCAAGGCATTGAGACTCCCGAGGATCAGAACGACCTACGGAAGATGCAGCTGAGGGAGCTCGCCAGACTCAACGGCACACTGAGGGAAGACGACAACAGGTCAGTGGTGGAGTTTTATGCAAAGTTCAGTGTGATGGATCATTGGTGGGGAATGTATGGCCCCTGGAGATGTTCAGTTTAAACTACAGAGCACCGCTGAATACCCAATGTGCCCGTTTGTCTCTGTAGGATCCTTCGTCCTTGGCAAAACTCTGAGCCACGCAGCATCACCAACACCACCCTCTGTACCAAGTGCGGCGGAGCAGGCCACATCTCCTCCGACTGCAAATACACCAGGTGACCATCAGTGGAGCCAGTCACAAATGTATATGTATTCATGTAGTGTCATCAATCTGTTTGTAACAGCGGTTGCTGTTTTGCTTTGTGCAGCTCATTCGCTGCCCACAGAGCGACAGGCGGCGAGCCTCCCCAGTCAGCCCAGGACAAGGCTCGTATGGATAAGGAGTACCTGTCTCTGATGGCCGAGCTCGGGGAGGCTCCGGTCCCCACATCAGGGGGAGGACACTCCAGCAGCCAGGGAGGAGGGCAGCGGTCCTCAGGACTTAATAATAACCAGCAACAGGTAAGTTGGCAACACTCATGATTCCATCCTCATCATCATACCAGTGTGTAGAAGAGAGTCCTAAACCAGTGACTGTGTGCAGCAGAACCGGCCTCCTTGGATGAATTCCGGTCCGACTGAGAGCAGGAACTACCATGGCATGCACGGAGCACCTGGTGGAGGACCCCACAGCTACCCACCCCCAATGCCCAACATGGGAGGCCCCCCTATGCCCCCCAACCCCAACGGCCTGCCACCCCCCTGGATGCAGCCCCCTCCTCCTCCCATGGGCCAGGGGCACACTCACGGACACCCCATGGGTAAGAGCTGACGTTTTACGGGTTAACATTACAGGAGGTGGGGAAACGGATGGTCACTGTGCTCCTCAGGGGCCTTGGGTGTTGAAGAGGAGGCCCTGAGAGAGACATGAGGCCAAGATACTGTGTGACGTATTCTGAGTGCAGTCTGAACTCGCAGATGGGAAACTACTTCTAATGGTGCCACTTTGCCAAAAATGTAAACAAATATTGTCTAAACCATGGGACTCAAAAGAGAATAATACACTTTGCTGACATTACAGCAGACCATTCAATTAGGCCATCTATTAGATATGAATACACATTTGACAGTGAGTTGATTTTTAAAAGATATGCTTTTAAATACGACGTCGCTGCTGGTAGGACTTGAGTTCCAGAAGGACCAGCCAGTTCACAGAGAAACAGGACCTTATTTTCAGGGTTTGTACGGTCATGGAAAACCTGGAAAAGTCATGGAATTTTAAAATCGTTATTTCCATGCCTGGAAATAACCTGCTTGAAAAAAAAAAAAAAAAATCCCAAAAGTTTTGGGAAAGTCATGGAAATGTGTTATATTCATATTTTCATGTCGTTCATTTACGTTGAGTTGCCAGCTGGCGTTTCTCAGATTGGAGTGAGACGAGGAGAAAAGGTTGAGTTCCGTTATGTTCCGTTACCGTTCAGACTTGCTGGGTTAAGTTAACATCCACTGCAATCGGAACATTGTCGACTGTTAACGTTCGTCGTTATCGCGATTCAGGAGGGAAAAAAACGTAACGCAATGAAACATGCAGTAGCAGGCCACCCCCACCCCCCCGTGTTCCGGTTCAGTTCACGCGGCCACTCATTAACGTTAAACCGGGACACCGGCGCATCTGGTTGCAGGTTGTTTGTTTTAACTCAAAGTAGAATGAGGATGATACTGATGAGGTGATGAGGTCAAAGAGCTTCAGGAAGAGGAGGCTGGTTGTAGCGCAGCTTGACGCAGGGCTGAGCTGTGAGTGGAGCTGGGCCTGGATGAAGGTGGAGCTGGGCCTGGATGAAGGTGGAGCTGGGCCTGGATGAAGGTGGAGCTGGGCCTGGATGAAGGTGGAGGTCTAAACAGATGTGAGTGCAGCTTCCTGCTGTCAGTGTTTTAAATACATTGATAAGACAGGCTATGCTACATGCAGCCTCTGCTCTAAGGAGATGAACTACAGCAACAAGGGCTCACATGCCCTCTCATCACACTGTTCACACTGGTCACTGTGATGACCACAGCCAGTGGACCAACAGTCCCACGTTGCTCTCAAGAACCCTGAAGTAATGAGGGTTAAGGAGCCTGTACCTTCATTTCAGCAGGTTGCTAATGCAGAGGTGTGTATAGATCACAGCTATTATTTTACTCTTGATAAGGTACTTTAGTCAGAGTAGATTATCATTTTCATTTAAATAATTGAACTGGATTGAATGCATATTAATTGCAAATAGACGATAGGCCACAATTCTAACAGCTGTACAGTAACGGTGTTAGTTAATATCAAGCCATACAGTAACAGGGTTCAATGAAAACTTTCCACTACAAAAGGGAAAGCAACATGTGCACTCGCTGGATGCTACTACCTACTAAAGCCAGTGTTATGAATGCCTGTCAACCAGAGTATATTTATAAATGTTTATTCTTTTAATCAAACTGTCTCATTCGATTGTGTCATTTAAGGTATACTGTATGCTTTGGAATACTCATTGGTAGTTTAAATACATTTTCTCACTTTTTCATGTATACACCGAGATTTCACAAAATGTTTGGTCATGGAAATTTGGTTTAAAGTCATGGAAATCCATTGGTCAAAATGTGTATGAACCCTGTATTTTGGCTGTAATTATTACTGTGCTGGTGGTAAAAATGACCCGCATACATGTTCCAAAAGGATTCACATATTATTAAAATCACACCGCCTCTACTTCAGCGTTTATTATGAATCATAATCAAATTGAATTCTGCAACAAAACCAACCTGTTTGTATTTTGGTTTCCTTGTAGGTCTGCTGCCACCTCCAATGGGCATGATGCCGCCTCCACCTCCTCCCCCCAGCAACCAGCCACCTCCTCCCCCCTCTGGACCACTGCCACCTTGGCAACAGCAGGCTCCTCCTCCCCCTCCCAGCAGCAGCATGGCAACCAGTGCACCGCTACCCTGGCAACAGAGTAAGACACTCAAAACAATTTGAAACCATTCCGTCATTTTCTTTTCAATATACACAGTTCTGTGTCGAGGACGTTGTGTGAGATGCTACAAACTATTTAGACCCTACTCGATTCATTTTTACTTTAACTACAAGCCTACAGAAGGCCCGCTGTCATCAGAAGATCCCTTCTGTGGAAGCATGAACGTGTCATGATGGCAGACATGACTGTATCTGTAACAATGGAGCCACATATATCAGTACTACTCATGTGGTGTTGTAGTGTGAGCTGACAATGTGAATGTTGTGATGACAGTAAAGAGTTAACCCCCCCCCCCCCCCCCCCCCCCCTCACAGATGCCACCACCACATCCAGCCCTGGCACCGGCACCCTGCCTCCATGGCAGCAGCCCCAGCAGACTGCGGCCTCTGGAGCCCAGCCCCCCCCACCCATGGGTGCCCCATCCATGGTGCCGCCTCCCCCCGGCGTCCAGCCCCCGCTGCCCCCGGGTGCCCCTCCCCCCCCCCCTCCACCACCTCCAGGCTCAACTGGCATGATGTATGCCCCGCCGCCACCCCCCCCACCCATGGACCCTTCCAACTTTGTCACCATGATGGGGATGGGGGTACCGGGCATGCCCCCCTTCGGTATGCCCCCTGCCCCCCCACCGCCTCCACCCCAGAATTAACCCTTCCCCGGAAGAATAGTCCTCCCACAAGAGTTTCCACCCTGCAGCACATTGTGGAGGTGTGATCACAGAATAAGATATAACCAGTGCTTTATTTTTTATTGATCCTTGATATGGTGGAGACGTCTGTGAAACAATGAAAGGTTGTGTTAGTTCAATTTGTAAAGTTACGTAACTTTAGTAAATGAGTTGTTTTTCCTGTTTTTAAAGTTTGTGTTGACACAAAGCTCCTTGTGTGCACACAAACACTGTTGCTCTCGGCCTCATGTTGTGCATCGCTCCCGTAGTTTGTCACATCACTTGTAAACCAAATAAACTGCTCAAATAGCCACCCGGAGGTTTAGTTTCTGCTCCACAGTCTCGCCGCTTCAAAGGTCCAATTCAGACTGTAACGCTCGACTATTATTGGATTTAATATATTGAAGCTTAACTTGCATGATCCATTATGAACTTCTCATTCACAAATTTATACTCCTGTCATGTTCCCCATGTTGACTTTGAGTTGAATAAGATTAATATTTTTGTATTAACGAGATGTGAATTGTATCTTAGTTCTGTCTGAAAACCTTTTTGTAGTACTGTCTCCGATTGTTTTCCAGAGATTCCCAGGGTTTTAATTGTTTTCTTTGTTCTTTTGTTACTTGCCTGCGTCTCAGTTGTGACATTGAGTTTGAAAAAGTGGAATTGGATGCTGCGAGCTGCCATCTTCTGCCCCCCGGCACTACTTGAATGCTGAGAATCTGATCTATTTTTGTTTTTCTGCATCTCTTTCTGCTCTAAGACGCTGTGTGCAGTGTTTGTGTTGCTTCTGCAAGGACAAAAATATCAGTTTTGTCCCTCGAATTGTTAGTTTTACTGTTTCTGGAATCAGTCGGTTGTGTCATGGCGCTAGCCTGAATGAAAATCTGTTGAAATCTTGCTTGGTTTTGCATTAAACTGATCCATTTCACCTTTTTGTCTTTGAGTCCGGACTGGTTTCTCCTTTCATGGTTAGAGGCCCTCTGTGTCTCAATGCTTGCCAAGAGTTTGTTTTTTTCAAACAAGGCTTTGTTGGCTGCCTCATTCAAATGTGTTGCATAACCTGGGTTTGTCATGGGTGTCCGCCGCCTCACAAACTCTCCAGGAAGTCTGCACTCAGAGACCTGATTAAACAGTCTGTACAGTTGTCCCCCTACCACGGACATTCCCAGCTGGATTTTATATGGCCGTTATAGAAGTGTCGGCTTTATGTTCAAATACTTAGAGAGCAGCGATGTTGTCCTTACTTTATATCTAAATGCAGTTATTTCAAAGTTTTGGTGACAAATACCAATACATTGAGTATTTTCAATTCTAAGATGTCATTTCAATAGCTTGGGAAGAAGTAATGGGAGAAAATATATTCCTCAAGGTCCACTTGCTAGTGTTTTCTTTTTTTTTTTTTGGAGCTTTCAACTGCATCTCATGGTTTTCATGAAATGGAGTTGCTGGCTCAGTTGTCACATGACTTAGTTTGACTAAAACATAACTCAAGGTACACTTACATTTCCTACAGCTGTCAATTACATCCCATGGTCTTCTTCAGCAGATGGCATTTGCTCAGTGGTCATGGGACGGCCATGTTAAAATCTTTTACGACTTTTACATTCAACCTCATCACGACCAAATGGTGACCGATGGTCACTTGATGACGACCGAGAAAACTCCACTGAGTGAGTCTGTGAGATATGGTTAAAGCCCCAGAAAAAGCTAGTAAGTGGACCTTGAGTTACTATTTTTAGTGTAAATCAGACTTTTTGTCTTGTTTGAATACCCTGCAAAGTTATAGTAAATTCACTTTGAATACGATTTCCCCCTGATAAAACTAGTGTTCAAGGTCAACAATGACATTCCTGACTCCTTTTCCAAGTTGGTATATTTCTACTTTCACCTGGTCGACTTGTCACATTTAATTTAAACACGAATGACATGTCCACCTAGCATTTTCCTCCCTCCTTTTGCTTCTATAGCTCTCATTAGCTCCGTATGTCAGTAACTGTCAAAGGGAGTACTTTACTGAACTCAGGGGGAAGAGGATGTGAGAACAGTTACTGCAGGAAACAATGCCGGCCTTGGCTCCTGCGGATTGTTTTTGCTCGATACAGCAACAATTTAAGCTTAAACTAACGTCACTCCGCTTAGCTTCTTTCAATGGGGGGGGGGGGAACATGTTACAATGGCGTGTGACGCACTTGCAAATCCAACGTGTGTTCGTTAGCTGACGCAAATTCGGGTTTTATTTTGAAACTGTGGACCGGAATAGGCTTCTTTTCTTCAGTCCATCTTGACGTGAGTACGTAACACATATATAGTAGGCTGGACCGTCACATCCCACCGGCTGTCTGTTCAGAGGAGAGACGGAAGCGAAGTGGGCGGGCTGCCGGGTGACATTTAACTTGACATTCAGCAAAACTAGACGCAAACTGCTAGCAAGCATGGCCAAGCCGCTGACAGACCAGGACAAGAGGAAGCAGATCTCGGTTCGGGGGCTCGCCGGGGTGGAAAACGTCTCGGACCTGAAAACTAATTTCAACAGGCACCTCCACTTCACCCTGGTGAAAGACCGAAATGTGGCCACCAAACGGGACTACTACTTCGCCCTGGCCAACACGGTCCGGGACTACCTGGTGGGCCGCTGGATCCGGACGCAGCAGCACTATTATGAGAAAGACCCCAAAGTAAGCAGCGAAACGATGCCGCAGTTCCACACGTACACACACGGCTGACCGGGGAGCAGTGGGAGGGGATGCTCGGTGCTGCAGCGATCGCAACTAATCACCTCGCGCGCGTGCACGGGTGTATTTATGTGTATAGTGTGCGCGCGCGCTCTTTGGCTGATTTGCTGTTTATATCCATTTATAGTAATGTTCCGGCAGCTTTGTCTAAACATCGTGCATTGAAACCGAGTTAAAGTGTGCGAGCAGAGCGCGTGGAGTTCTTTCCACACTGACGTTTCCTCCATCCGGGCTGCCTGTTACATAATTTTCTGCGCGTGCAGCTGCATCAGCCTCGGTAACCTTGATCTGAACTGCTGCGCGCCGTTCAGGACGATGCTTTCAAATGTGTCCAAATACTGGTCTTATGCTGCACTGGCACTGTGTGGGATTAGGAGAATCAACTGGTTGTTGAAATATGTACAGTATTACGTAACGCCCTCCATCACCACCACCACACACTGCGCATCACAAAATGGCCACACAGTTAAAAATAAAAAATAAAAAGACACATGAAAACCTTGGATCAACACCTTGCAAAGTACTCAGCACTCAGCGCCTCAGTGTTACTGGAACAGGAGGCTCTATAGAGGATTTAAAGGGCCGTCACCGGTACAATAAATTATGCAAAGCCCTGCTGCACTGTCTGCTGCACTGTCTGCTGCACTGTGTGATGGCAGCCAGGGATCTGCTGGAGGGCGAGTGTCTGGCTTAAACTACACCACTCATCCTGACTCCGTCATCCTGCTCTGCTGGTCCTCTGGCTGGTCCATCCTCACACCCTCAGCTTGTGCAGCCAGGTTGCTTCACATAACTTATTTTAGATTCCAGTGGACATCCTAAAGATTTGAAATATGGCTAAATATGGGAAAAGTTGTTAAAAGTGGTTGTGCAAGACGTCCAGCATGTTTCCATAAAAGAAACATTGAGTCTTGGCTTTGAATATTTCGCTCTGCATGAACATCATAAAGCTTCAATCGCAGGTAGAAACAATCTGGTACAGAAAGTTAATGGGACCTTTTAAGAGGAAGAACACACATTTTAGCGGTAAGTCTGGTGACAAATCCCATTACAAAGATGCGTCTTCTTCCTCTGTCATCAATGAGCCTCACTGATGCACTGGGTGACATGTTCCTTCATCCCCATGAACACACGCACTGTACTTGATTTTGACTCGCATACAACGTCCTGCTGCCAGAAATCAGTGATGTGATGTTCGAGAATGACCCAAATCTCTTGAACGTCTCTTTGGTACAAATGAAGGGAACAGAGTCGTACATGAGAGCTGTTCTTTTTACCGTTGTGCCCAAATTTCACTGCCTGCCCTAAGATCTGCAGCGCCACCACACACAAGCGCAGACTCACGATCACAGACAAACAGGCAGAGGAGCAGAATTGCTTGTCGACTGGTGCAGAGAATAAGCTTCAGCTGATGAGAACAGCTTCACTGTTCACGTGAAAATTAAAGTTTTGTGGTGCTGTTGCCTGTGACTTGAAAAGACCAACAGGCCATTCTTTTTGAAGGGAGCCATCAGATGAAGCTCCTTTCAAAAAGCCACAATTTCCATCACCAATCCAAATACTCACTAGAGCTTTTCTCCCATGTCTGCATTCTTTGTACGACCCTCACCATCAATCAGCAGCAGGATCAGAAGTGTGGCAGTGTGTCACATGACACACTGCCAGAAATGTTGCACACGTCCTCACACGGTTGGAAGCCTCGTCTCTATTTCATTTGGTCGGCCTTCATCGGTACGTGTGTGTTACCTTTCACAGAGCTGTGAGGAGACGCTGAGCGGTGTCACTGAGGGCCCTGGTTTGATTCTCTGTGAAGGGACAGAGATATTGTTGGAGGAGCTGCCAGTAATAGCTCTGCTGTTGTTGCCTCTGACAGTAACTGTTGTGTTTTACCGGTGATACAGGGGCCATGAGGGACACCTAATGGGTCACGTGTGTTTTATTATTAGTATCCTGAGAATTTGTGGAGACTTGTAGTGCTCTATTTAGTGAGTTCTTTCATCCTGTCAAATTTCAGATGGAAAGGTATATATTTGTCTGGTTTTTAGATATTTATTTAAAGTAATATTGGGAGTAAATGTAATGCAGCTTGGCATTCACAGGTTGCTTTTCTCTGTTTTCCTGCAGCGCGTCTACTACCTGTCCCTGGAGTTCTACATGGGTCGCACTTTGCAGAACACCATGGTGAACCTGGCCTTGGAGAACGCCTGCGATGAAGCCACGTACCAGGTGAGGCAAAGGATCCGCTTTGAGGCAGGGGTTAAAAAATTATATTGAACTACACAGCCCAAAAGTAATTGGACACCTGAACAAAGTGCATGGACACCCAAACATCACGCCTCCACATTTTTTGGTTCCAGTTTCCCACCTGACGTTGCGACCTGGCAGCACGAATTTGCTCCCATTCAGACACGAGTGAGGTCCGACCTTGACCTTGAGTGAGTCGGTGTTCCAGGCAGGCGAAAGTGAAGCCAATGCCAAAGTGTGTTAAAGCTGCATTCTCTCTATTTTCCACCAGGGGGCGACTCCTCTGGTTGTATAGAAGTCTATGAGAAAATGACTCTACTTCTCTCTTGATTTATTACCTCAGTAAACATTGTAAACATGAGTTTATGTTCTCAATCTCTAGTTTCAAGTCTTCTTCAATACAGCATGATGTTCATTTAGTACATTATGGTCCATTTAGAGTCAAACAGACCATAAAGCAGGGGATGCTTTAGGGCGGGGCTACACGGTGATTGACAGGTCGTTACCAGAGCCGTATACGGCGTGTCGACCACAGCCTCACTCCTCAGCAGTCCAATTATGGTCACTTCCGTTCACTGTTTGCAAAAAGCAAGAAGGCTGCAGACAAAATGGCAAACTCAAGGCTTCAAAACTGCAGTCCACAAACCAATGGTTGCCGTCAAGACGACTACGTCCACTTCTTCTATACAGTCTATGAGACGGAGGCATTGTCATGTTGAAACAGGAACGAGCCAAACCAGCTGTTAACACAAAGTCAGAAGAACCCCATAGTCTGAATTATTATATCCTGTAGTCTTAATATTTCCCCTTAACTGGAACTGAGAGGCGTGTCCTCATACTTATGGCTATATACATGTAGCCGACTGTAAATGCAGAACATTCCAGACACAATCAACATGTCCTATAAAATGTAATTGACTGATCCATGGGTAAAGGGCAGCTGATATCTAATCAGTGTGAGAGCGTCGGGGCCGGATCGGGATTTACCCTAACCCTTGGTACTTGGTTACTCCGGGGATTGATTGTTGCACTTTAATAGAGTTGGGTTTGCAGTTTATAACACAGGCTCTCTGTTATAGATTTGTCAAAGCCCAAGCTGAAATAAATAACCCTGATGATGTCGTCATGGAAATAAATAATAAACAAAGTGAAATTTTATGGCTGTGAGTAGCAGCGATGGCTACAGGATGCATAAAGGAAAGACAAGGACCGGTCAAATGTCCACTGGTGGTAACGTGGACGACCGATGGACGTGTTTACAGCAGTGACAGCATGTTGATGTGTCCTCCTTCAGCTGGGTCTGGACATGGAGGAGCTGCAGGACATGGAGGAAGATGCAGGTCTAGGCAACGGTGGTCTGGGTCGCCTCGCCGGTGAGTTCTTGCTGCCTCCTAATTGGCTGCTGACAGACTGATGTTTAGTGCTGCAGGCAGCCTTGTCTCAAACGGACACCACCCCACCCCTCCATGTTGTTTCCTCAGCTTGCTTCCTGGACTCCATGGCCTCTCTGGGTCTGGCTGCTTATGGATACGGCATCCGCTACGAGTTCGGCATCTTCAATCAGAAAATAGTCGAGGGCTGGCAGGTAGGTTCACCTGATGGTGTTTATGTACTGTCAACGTATCCTTACCGCTTATGTTAAACCTCACTATACCTGGATGGTCATTTCTTTACAGGTTTCAGTTTTAAGCTGAACTTTTCTTCAGCATATGGAGGACGAAAGCTGGCATTATAAAAACAAATAAATAAACATCTAAAGAAATGCATACATTTTATAATATAGAATAGAAATGTATCATCAAATACATGCGCAGGGTCATTTGAAAATGTATAAATATGCAAAGAAATGGAAGAATAAATTCTTTATTTATTTAACACATTTTTTATTTTTGCATTCATTTATTTTCTAATTTATGAATTTAGCTTTTTATATATGCATTTGTTTGCCTTTTATTAATGTGCATATTTATTTATTTTCAAATTAACCTGCACATTTATTTGATCATTTGATCACAACTTTCTTCATTAATTATTTGTTATGATGGGAGCTTGTATCCTCCATATCAGAATGACACTTTAATATTTTTTCAACAGAAAAGAGGAAGTCCTCTGAACTTCCTCTTTTTCAGCTGTGTCCATGCGGTGTCCGATAAAACACCAAACATGAGCCCACAATAAGTTTAAGTTTTTTTTATTGTCTTATACATATACGAAATTTGTCCTCTGCATTTAACCCATCCCTAGCTTATTGGGAGCAGTGGGCTGCTGAGAGGCGCCCAGGGAGCAGGTAGGGGTTCAGTGTCTTGCTCAGGGACACTTCGGCATCGAACCGCCGACCTTGCGGTTGCTGGACGACCCTCTCTACCCAGTGAGCCACAGCCGCCCCAAATAGAGTAGCTGCACTCTTTACCCTAAGATTGAGTGCAAGAAATGGTTTGGCTTTCACTAAACCGAGACATATCGGTGATGGTAGTTTACAGAACGTCACACTAAAGTTAAGGCTGAAAGGTTGACTGAAAGAAGCAGAAATCCTTTTTTAAATGACCATCTTTACCCCACAAACATTTTGTTGGATGGACCCTAAGAACTAGTTTTGTACCAGATGAAATGGCAGCCTTTTGTGTGCTGTGTGTTCATAAGCACATCAAATTAATACCCCAGAACGTTGTTTCCACAGGTGGAGGAAGCTGACGACTGGCTGCGTTACGGGAACCCCTGGGAGAAGGCTCGCCCGGAGTACATGCGCCCGGTCCACTTCTACGGACGAGTGGAGCACACGGAGGAAGGAGTGAAGTGGGTCGACACACAGGTATAGGAACGGACTCCAGAATTGACCTTTAGCAACACTTTGGTCTTCACCTCTCGTGTAATATTATGCTATCGATTACATATTTACCATGGGACTGATGAGGTACTTTGGCCAGATTTAATACAATCATTAATAAATATGATGATGATGAACAATAATTATGAGTTTCCTGGTTTCATTTTGTAACGAAAAGAAAAATCAACAACAATCTTTTTGAATTTGGTTGTTTAAGAATAGTGACCAAGATATGTAGTGAGCTGGACATTGAACAAACTAATCTCACAGGTAACACATTAAAGGTGCAGTGTGTGATATCTGGCAACATACTCCAGACAGATAGGGGGCAGCATTTTACTTATACTACTGGGTTTAAATAAACTACATTCATAGTCATCAGTTCTAAGAAACAAACTACTAAGTTAACAGCAGGGCAAGATCACGCCGTCATACGTTTAAAGAGAGACTAATGGAACAATAACCAGTGTGTTAAATATCTATTTTAACTTTGATTCAGGTGGTTCTGGCTCTTCCTTATGACACCCCGATCCCCGGCTACAGAAACAACATCGTCAACACCATGAGGTTGTGGTCTGCTAAGGCCCCCTGTGACTTTAACCTCAAGGACTGTGAGTATTGTCATCTGTACTGCTGAGGAATCATCATTAATATCATGTAAACAGATCAGCAGCTACTAAATATGAATGTAAACCATGTCCCACAGTTAATGTTGGCGGCTACATTCAAGCCGTGCTGGACAGAAACCTGGCTGAGAACATCTCCAGGGTCCTCTACCCCAACGACAACGTGAGTGGACCCCTTTATCTGGGGGTCAGAGGGTCATTGCACAGGAAATCTGTGTTGCTCTAGAAATCATTTTATCGGTTGAGTGAAATTAACCGTAACATCTTTTTTAGAATTGGGAATATTTTTGATGTTGTGTCTTCAGCTTGCTGTAGAGGACCATTGCACCAAAGTGGAGCTTTAACTCAACTAATCAGACTATTTCTTTCTCCAGAACAACATTTTCTAGAATAAAAAAATTCGGTTCTGCATGTATTCTAAAAGATGAGTTTTTCATGTTGTCATTGTTCGTCAGTTCTTTGAAGGGAAGGAGCTGCGTCTGAAGCAGGAGTACTTCGTCGTAGCAGCGACTCTTCAGGACATCATCCGGCGATTCAAAGCCTCCAAGTTTGGCTCCACCGAGTTTGTGCGACTCGACCTTTCTACGCTGCCGGACAAGGTGAGAGATCCATCGTATCATCTCCAAGATGAGGACTGCAGGGCTGAACCATAACTAGTAATCTGTGAATGTATTTAGTGGTGTGTGAACTGCTCTCCATGTTCATTGCATTCATATTATGATCTTTAAATCAGATGGCAGTAGTGCAGCTTGGATGCAGTGTTCTGCTCTTTAAGGCACTACACTGTTTTCTCTCTCTCTGTCTGCAGGTGGCCATTCAGCTGAACGACACCCATCCTGCTTTGGCCATCCCCGAGCTGATGAGGATCCTGGTGGACGTCGAGAAGCTGACTTGGGCGAAGGTATGTGGCATTCCAGCAGTGCAGCAACACACAGAGAGACGTCAGATGACTCACTTGGGTGCACACTCTGGTGCTGTTGGATCGCCCCGGCTAGAACTGTAACTCCTGCAGTTTAACTGAATTGTCCTGTAGTCACTCGTGTTGCTGTCTCTCTGCATCCTGCAACGCTGCAGAAACGATGACGCAGCAGAATGACGCACACTGACAGAATGTAGTGAAGTAAACTTGTAGTATCAGTGATGGAGGGTAACCATCTAGACACGGCCCATTTCGTGTGAACACAGGATCTCGGTCAGACAATGCTGACCCATTATTTCTTTATTTATCAGAGAGTGAGGTTCCTTTTGTTTATTTCTATGATTTCACACCAATTTGTTGTTCAAAAGAAATAGTGTTCATCCCCTGGAATGTAATGAATTTAATGCTACATCACTGATACTACAAGTTTATCTGCTTACATCTAATTCCATTTTTATGGACTGAATTATAGTCTTCTTCTTTTTTTTTTATATATATACAGTATATAAAGAAATGTCTATTTTAATATAAATAATATTCTTAAAAAAATATTGCAAATACTTTAGATTTGGTGAGATGAGACAAGAAGGGGAAGCAATTGAGTCAAGAAGTGTAGAAACATTAAACACATTAAAGCTAAATTAAACATTTATAAGTAATGAATATATGCCGGTTTCGATTCCTGAGCTAGACGTGGCTTCTAGTTTGCATGTTCTCCTCACTACACTGAACAACTATCAACATCACTGTTAGAGTACACAAGACAAGACTGTCATTTTCTACACTAATGAAGTTGTATTTGTCAAAATACACAAATTATTATGTTCTAGTCAAAGTTTCAGTTGTTGTGTGAGAAAGATGCGATCATGTGATCATGTTCGATGGTCCTGTCCTCTGTGTCCAGGCCTGGGACATCGTGGTCCGTACCTGTGCCTACACCAACCACACCGTCCTGCCTGAAGCCCTGGAGCGCTGGCCCGTCGACCTCTTCCAGAACCTGCTGCCTCGTCACCTGGAGATCATCTACGAGATCAACAGCAGGCACCTGGAGGTAGGAGGGAGCTGGACGTGGATTTATGAGCATTTTAGGCATTTAGATGATTTTTCTAAAGGTTCTTTTTTGCCATGTTACCTACACCCAAGGCTTTTCTCTCTGTGCTCCCTGTATGAGAGTTCTGCACTACTTTGAATACTAGTACTGCCAAATGTGAGACCCCAATCTGACCCGAGACCCAAAGCTGTTATTCTGGCTTTATTTCGACCATTATAAGGGCCACAGTATTTCTTCTTTTTCATTCTCTTTACCGTATTATTGCTCATCTGTCTGCATGATCAGTGGTAATGGCTGTATGAGCGCAGTGCCAGTGGAGCATAGCAGAGAGACTTCATGCTGCTCAGGTAGACATCACTCCTCCACATGTCTCTCTGCTTCACCCCTCCAGCGCATTGCCAAGCTTTTCCCCGGAGATCTTGACCGCCTGCGCCGAATGTCCCTGGTCGAGGAAGGGGACGACAAGAAAATCAACATGGCCCACCTGTGCATTGTGGGATCTCATGCTGTCAACGGAGTGGCCCGCATCCACTCCGAAATCATCAAAGACACCGTGTAGGGAAAGCAGTTCACCCTCATCTCTCTTCTGGCTCGTACTCCTAAAGCGTTTCTGTAGAGTTTGTGTTTGACGTGACTCTTCAAGACCCAACTTAATAATGTCCCCAGAACTTAAGGTCCTCCTTGTTGTTGCTCCTCTCCTCCTCAGGTTCAAGGATTTCTACGAAGCAGACCCTGAGAAGTTTCAGAACAAGACCAATGGCATCACACCCAGGCGCTGGCTGGTCATGTGCAACCCTGGCCTGGCTGAGGTCATTGCAGAGGTGTGTTTGTTCTTCTTCATACAGACTCAATGCTGACTGGATGTTGATTCTTTGCATATAGAATATTAGCTGACTGACATCCAAAGCACAGAATTCAATATTTACACTGCAGTTCCACTTGTCCCACATGTGCTGACGTGGTCATGGTTTGGTTTAGAGGATTGGTGAGGACTACATCCGTGACCTCGACCAGCTGAAGAACCTTCTGGACTTTGTGGACGATGACTCCCTCATTCGGGATGTTGCCAAAGTCAAACAAGTGAGCGCTTAAATGCTTAAAGAAAGGTGATGATTCTCATGTTTTGTTTCTGATCACATCCCTCTGTACGACCTCAACTTTTAGGAGAACAAGATGAAGTTTGCTGCCCACCTCGAGGAGCAATACAAGGTGAAGATCAACCCTAACTCCATGTTTGATGTCCAGGTGAAGAGGATCCACGAGTACAAGAGGCAGCTGCTCAACTGCCTGCACATCATCACGCTGTACAACCGTGGGTGCTTTCTCTTCCTGGCAGCTTCTTAGAAAACAAATCTAGATTGAGAGTGAAGGCAAAAACTTTGTTTGTTTTTAATCAGGAATCAAGAAGGAACCCAACAAGTCCTGGACCCCCAGGACCGTCATGATCGGAGGGAAGGTGAGTGGCTGACGGTGTTGCGTTGCATTTGTTTTTCTGTGTCGAGACAGAACACTGCCATGTGCTTGTGTTGTGTGTCCACTGCAAAGATGACTTTTGTTTCTGGAAGACTGGAAAACTGCTCATCTAGCTCCATTAAAAGAGAAAAACATGCAACATTTGTTTTACAAGATATTTGTATTCAAAGATATTTATACATAAGGAGCAATTCCTCAAATATGTTTCTCCCCTCTCTCCCTTACACCCCCTTTGATGAAGACATATGACTGAGGCTGTCACCAATATACATGTGTATTAGTATATGTTGATTTAGTACCATGTACCTTACGTCTAATTCGTCTTGGAAACTAAAACGGGTGCAGAAAGCTGTACTCCATGCTTTCTAATTGCCTCTTTCCATTTAGCTAATTATTGTACCAAGTTTGCACAAATGCTAATATTTTTACAAACACACATTTCAAACATTTTCTTAAAATGAGTGTTTTGTGATTCCATAAATTCAGTCTTGTGTGGTTATGATTATTATAGATATATAGCTCTTATTTTGTACTGATTAGAGTTTATCCCAATCAGTAAAAAACTGGTTTCATTTAGTGTTTCTCAAGATGGTGTCCTCTGTGTTTTCAGGCGGCTCCAGGTTATCATACGGCCAAGATGATCATCAAGCTGATCACATCAATCGGAGACATCGTCAATGATGACCCCGTGGTGGGAGATCGCCTCAAAGTCATCTACCTGGAGAACTATCGGGTCACTCTGGCTGAGAAGGGTAAAGCTGTTGATTTGTAATCTTACTCATTTGGACACTGACCTTTTTGCTAACATATTAAGGGCTTAGAATCTGCAAGTCAAGGACATACAGTATACTCGTGTGTGTAATTGAACCTGGTTAGAGAGAGAAACTGGAATTCTGAATCTCCTGTCCGCAGTCATTCCTGCATCTGACCTGTCGGAGCAGATCTCCACAGCAGGTACTGAGGCCTCTGGCACCGGGAACATGAAGTTCATGCTGAACGGAGCCCTCACCATCGGCACCATGGATGGAGCCAACGTGGAAATGGCGGAGGAAGCTGGAGAGGAGAACCTCTTCATCTTCGGCATGAGGGTGCCCGATGTGAAGGCTATGGACAAGAAGGGGTGAGAGTCATAATTAAAATGTATAAATAATGTTTGGATCAAATTCACCCATGTTCTGTAATACCTGTTCAAATGTAAGTTCATGAATGAATTACTGAACCGGGCCCAAAGTGGCAGACCTCCCCCCCGGCCTTCTCTTACAAAATGTCACTCTTTGAGACACAAGAAGGAAGAGACTCAAAATGACCACAAAGACAAATGCAACAATTAAAAAGAGACACAAAGTGACTAGAAAGAGAGGCCCTACAACCCCAAGGAGACACAAAGAGACTACAAAGAGAGGTCCTACAACCCCAAAGAGAGGCCCTACAACCCCAAAGAGACTAGAAAGAGAGGCCCTAAAACCCCAAAGGGACACAAATGGACTAGAAAGAGAGGCCCTACAACCCCAAAGGGACTAGAAAGAGAGGCCCTACAACCCCAAAGAGACACAAAGCGACTAGAAAGGGAGAAAACAACTGCAAAAAGGTGCAAACAAACACAAATGGATTCAAAATGATGACAGACTCAACAACTACAAAGAGACACAAAACGACTATCCTAAAAAAGGGGCAAAACAACCACAAACTAAAAATAACCACACAAACACCAAAACAATCACAAAGAGACACAACCATAGGAAGATGCGTAACAACATCAAAGCGACACAGAACGACAACAAAAAGGCTGAGCAACTATAAAGTCTGTGTCCTGCTCCTATGTAGAAGAAGTGGTAGGCTCTTTTGCATGTCTGGGTCCATTGTCTCATAATCCACCCATGTGTTTTTGTTGAATGTCTTTTGTCCTCAGCTATGATGCCTCGTCGTACTACAACCGTATCCCCGAGCTGAAGCAGGCAATGGACCAGATATCTGGAGGCCTCTTCAGCCCCAGCCAGCCCGACCTCTTCAAAGACCTCGTCAACATGCTGATGCACCACGACAGGTTAGAGCACACTGACGCTGAGGAAGCAGCACCGAGGCCTTGCTGACACACAGCCTACCTTTTATGTCCGCAGTGTCATCAATGTATCACTGTCAAAAGAGTGAGACTGTTGCACTTTAACGCTATAAGACACTGGTGTGAAACTGTCCTGTTTGCTTGGAGCATTAACGTCCCAAATGAATGTATTGAATGTATTGATTTATAGTAGAACTGTAGTAAACTGTACGTCTGTGCTGCAGGTTCAAGGTGTTTGCAGACTATGAGGCCTACATCAAGTGTCAAGAGAAAGTCAGCGCACTCTACAAGGTCAGCAAGACTCCAGTCATTTGTCCTGCAGTGGAATACAGCACGATGACTTCTTTTATTAGTTGTTTTAACTTCATACAATATGTCTCAACTTCTGTTGAATTCTTAGCTTTATTTCAATATCAGATATGCAATGTTATATTATACTTTACTATATGATACTGTCCCTCTGTGTATACTAGTGTTTATTGGTTATGTTAATGTATATACTGTATTTTATATTGTATGTAGCCTAGATTTATTCAGAGTCGGTATACAGTACTACATTGTGTGGTACTATTGTTGTCTACTATATTTTATTGTACAATATATTTTTCTTTTCAGGTATTAAAGTTTCATCTTATTGTACAATGTAACCCCTTCACTCCTCCTCCTCTCCCTAAAGGACCCTAAAGAGTGGACCAAGATGGTGATCCACAACATCGCCAGCTGTGGTAAATTCTCCAGTGACCGCACCATCTCCCAGTATGCCAGGGAGATCTGGGGCATGGAGCCCAGCTTGGAGAAGATCGCTGCTCCTGATGATCCTCGCTAAAACCACCTCACTGTAGCTCACCATGTGGTCCAAGCACTGTAGCTTCTTCACTGTGTAGTGTGGCATTATTTCTTTACATCATTAATCCCTAGACCACCTCTATTACTCCCAGTTCATGTTGCAGTAGTGTGTGTTGAAGTGGGCTCATCCAGAAACCCTATAACTAAATTGGAGACTATATCTTTAACTTAACAGTGATTCCAACGACAATTCAAACTATATTTCCCTTCAACATCTGAGCTTATGTGGCTCCCAAAACCCAGCAAACCCGCCGATAACCCTTTAGCACTGTTCTGGTCCTGAACCAGCCTACGTCTTCCATGGGAGAGGGACGGGATGCTCGGTGGTTAACCTACGCTGTGGCCTCGTAGCAGCCCTGTGACTGGACTGTGTCTCAATATATACCATAGAATAACTCTTAATTAATGTTCCGTATTACAAAACTCTCCGACTGCCCGGTTCGTGTTTCATGGTGTTATGTGCGTATATCCATTTATATGTGTGTTATTAGAAGTGGAGGTCAGGGGAGCCCTGTGATGCAGATGTACTGACCCATCAGTTCAGCTGCGATGTCCTCAGCATGTTTGTGTCTCATTCTGCTGTACTCTCTTCATAAAGGTGACCTGTGTTAGAAGATAACGAAGCCTTCTCTGCCTACAAACCCAAAGTGACTGAATTAACCTTCGGAAGATGTGTGTATTCTGTAGTTGTGTGTGTTTAGCATACGTGAGTCCATGGCACTGTGGCTATCCGCTCGATGGATGTACTGTAACATACTGTCCTGCTTCAGCTACTGTCTGACTGACTGTGGTGCTGCCTGCAGAAGCAACTGCTCACTACGCTGAACCTTGCAGCCAGTGCTTTTCTTTTTCTTTGTCAATAAATGACAAAACTACATCAATACCTCCGATGTTTCAGTCACCTCTGTAGTGCAGCACAGACACAAAGTTGTCCATGTAAAGTTAACGGTTTGTTGCACATTCCTGACCCCAAAATGAAGATGATGATGTGGGCCTCTTGGATCCATGTTGAAGCTGTGCCTGCACCATAAGGCCTGCGCTGTGCTTTTAGATGTTAGTGGACCTGATTGTTCTGCAACAGCTTTCGTGGGACGTCAACTCTCGATGTTTCACACTCTGACTGATGGCAGCCTTCTGTCCCATGAAGCACGTTGAGGTAAATGTCACCGTTGGCTGAAAGATGAAGTCCAGGACAACACGCCTGAGAGCTGTGAACAACCATAAATAAATGCCACAGTTAAAGGTAGTGATACACTTTCTACTGGCCACCAGCAGAGGCCTGTATGCTTTTTAATCATTTAAATATACGGTTCATTTTGTAATCGCTGCAATCAATATTCAGAGGCATATTGTATATTTTATTCTGCAGAAATGCAATGAATTAAGGAAGCTGATAAATCAAAGTTAAGACAATTGCTAATTACTTGGCAAATGACTTTTGGTAACTGTCTATTTTTGCTCTTTTTGTTTTTTTGTATTTTGTTCATTTGTCGTTGGAAAGGAGGTCAAAGACGTATAGAGAAATGGAGGGATGACTGAACAGTCTGATCAAAAATGATGTGAATCATATCTTAAGATGTCACATAAACACCGACGGGAGACTTTAGACAGTCGCCACCATCAGAACATCACATCAGTGAATGTTGGTAGAACGCTCCAGAGACTCACACAGTGGAACATCCATGAGAAGAACATGGAAGAACATGTACGTGATGGAAGAACATGTATGTGGGCTTATGTAAACCAAACAAAGTCCTCAGGAAGTTGGTAAATGAAGTTAATGTCCCTGAACCTATTTTACAGCTTTGACAGAAACGCATCTTAACTCAAGGGCCACTTACTACATTTCTTTAACATCTGGTGGCTGTATCGGTAGATGTGGTTTGCTCGGTTGTCATGGAAATGGTTCAGTGACAGCTGATGAACTCCACCAGATGTGATGAAGTAGTTTGTGGACCTTGAGTTAAGAAAGGTTTCTTTAATAACAAGCGTCCTATCATGTTCTTCTGCTCATGTACCCACTGTGTGTGTGACATCATGGATTATGTGATTCCACCCTTTGGCCTCAGACCTGTTCCTCCTGCCCCTCCCACACCCACATGATTGACAGTTGTCCATCACAAGCGGTCCCCTCCTCCCCTCCCATCACTCATATTAAAGCCCCATTCCCCCCTTTGTGGTCTCAGTTTCCTCCACCTGATCCCCAACTCCTCACCCTCTGGGATGGACTGCAGTGCTTACGGTAAGACAATTATTTTCATCTCAATCTTCAGTCAACTTCACATTGGTTCTGATGCATTTCTTGTTCGTTCCAATCTGCTCATTCTCTGGTAAATATTGAACTTATTAGACGTTATGGCAACATATACTTAAACCACCCTACTAAGTGTTTTTATAAGCAGTACATGGATGGTTCAGGATACACTATAATGTGGTTGTGAGCAGCTGTATATTTTATTGTTAATTATTGGATTATTTAACAATAGCTTCTCCTATGAAGCATCTGGTGTGTAAACAGATAATAAATGATTCATACTTGGCTTGAATCATATTTTATGATGATGTCCAAATCCTTCCACTGTGTTGTTAATCTTTTAATACCTGTTTATACGCATGTACAAGTCATCCACCGGCAGTTTAAAACTCTCTCTGACAGAAATATTGAGCCCAATGTCAACTTGCTCGATTTCTTGAGAGCTTTCAGAAGCATCTCATGGGCTTCATCGTCGGATACAATTGGGGCACTTGCCCTGGAGAGTGAAGAAGTATTTCTAAATAAATAAATACTTGAACTAATAAATACAATAAACTAGAGGAGCATCTCTTAAAGAGAATGTGCACTTTGATGTTGCTTGGCAGAATTTATAGATGACTTCAAAACTCCTTTTGAGCTTAAAGGGATAGTTGGACGTATTGTTGACGCCTATAAACAATATCATTCTAAATGTAGGCTACCTTGCTGTCAGACAGCCGTCGCTGACGGGGGGCTGAAGTCGTTATCTATGCTCTCTTTAAAGCCAGGCGACTCCTTTGACAGAGTGACTCAGTGTCATGTCCCGTCCTGCTCCTTCCTAATGTTTACTTGTATTTAACATTCATTATTTCCTGTTTTATTTCGTGTTACTAACCTCTCCTTCACTTCCTCATGTAAGTTGTGGGTTTTTCCCGCCTATGTGGTTGTCTGCCCTTGCCCTGATTGGATTCACTTGTGCCTGATCCCCTCCCCAGTGTCTTTAGTCTGTGTGTATCCCAGCCTCTGTGCCACTTCCTCTATGTCCCCACATGTTGCTGGTAGGTTGATTGGTAGTTTGTGTTATTCTGTGACTTTGGTGAATTTGAACTTGAATGTTAAAACGCCAAAGTCACACGTTAACACAAAGAAAGCAGACGAGGCAGCGGTAGAGCAGAGCCCCCGTGGTGAAGAGAGCATAGATGGATATAATGACTTCAGTTTCCCAATTCAGAAAAGGCTGTCTTACTGCACAGTGATAATATTCTAAATATAGTGTAAACTTTAAATTATATTGATTATTTTAGGTGTCTAAAATGTTTTTGTTGCTGCTGTTACTCTTGTCTGTTTCTAAAAACAGATACACTGTGGGCGACTGTGGCTAAGTGGATAGCAGTGCCGTCTTTCAATCAGAGGCTCCGGCTCTGCTAGTCGCATGTCGATGTGTCCTTGAGCAAGACACTTAACCACAAAATGGCTCCCGTAGTTGTGCTGTAGATCAGTGTACACTTGAATGCAGGTTTACTGCATTATTAAGATACTGAGTTACAAATACAATGGATGGGAATAGGCCTATATAGTTTGTTAAGCTTTATATAACAAATAATAACACAAAGTGTTGATGTCATCATTATGAGCCTATGTTGATCAGTTGATCAGTGAGGTAGACTGAGTATTTTGAGTTTGTACTATATGCAGTAGCTGCCATATAAAGACAATGTATATCTATCGGATAGTTGTTCAACTTTAACACCCCAAAATAATAACATTTATTGATGAGGAAAGGAGTTATAGTTGTTGACAAATTCTAAATAATATCATTTATTTCTGCATGTCTAATAAGTTTGTGGTGTGAAAATGAAATGAGGGTCCTTATATTATGTCGGTGTCCCAGAGCTGGATACCCTGGAGGTCCCTCCTCTCACCCCGACCAGTAAGGAGGTCCTCAGCCAGGCGGTGAAGGCCAGTTTTGCTGGATTTGCCCAGGAGAGAATCAACCATCACTTCCCACAGGGTACAGCCTGAGCCACATTTCATCCATCAGCACAGCTTCCATTATGGGAGGTTATAGAGCTGTGTATGGTACATTCGGAGCTGTAGAGTTATTCATATATTTGCCTATGTCCAGATCCTACCTTGTGGTCTGAGTGGGAGGTGAACTACTGGCTGGACTGGTGCCAGGCTGAGTTTGGTCTCCACTGCCTGGGTTCAGACCTGAGAGGCCTGCAGGGCAGTGAGCTGTGTGGCCTGGAGAGAGATGCCTTCCTGGGCCTCATGTCCGACTGCACTGCAGGAGAGATCCTGTGGGAGCATCTGGAGACCATGAGGAGAGGTGAAGACATCTTTCAAATAACAGACTTATTCTTCCAAGCTCACATCTTCCTTGAAATGTGCCTTGCGATTGCTTTGCTCCTTGAGCTATAACCCCACTTTGAAAAAGTACTTTATTCATAGTTTTCTTGAAAATATAGACTGTATAAAATAACCATATTCAAATTCAGTTTTAGTCAAAAGAGTTGACTGTGTGCATTTAAACAATGTCCTCAGATGGATATATATATATATATATATATATAAAGTAGTTTCTCTATCTTAGTCCTTGTCAGTGATCATGGAGTAATAACACAACATATCTTCTGTTTGAATCAGATTCTTTAGAGAATGAATATGACTGCACAGTACCATCTTACTGCCAGCTTCTAATCAACAAAGGTAATAATGTAATAATGCCTTCTTTACCCTCTGGCTGTTGTGATTAATATCCACCACTATAATTACATGTAATTGCTACATTGTTATTTGTTGTGATATTATTATGGATGATCTATGTTCCCTCAGAACGCTGCTCAGACTATGTTGAGGAGCATTCAGACAAACACAGTTACCATGTTCAGTACCATCCCAGTGAGAGGACGGACCTGCTCACTCTGCACCCTGTGACGGCGGAGCATCAGGACTACTATCTGATCAAAGCACAACATCCCAACATGGCTGCTGCTCTGGTGCATGAAACAGGAGGGAACGGAGGTGAAAACACACTTTATACATTACAACGTTCCATATGGTGCAGATTAAATGACAGTGAATCAATGCAGTGTTTTTCCTTTTAAAGTCCTTATTTCCAAAATCAGAGCATCGTGCCCCACCGGCTGCTCGTGCCCCACTAGCTAGCTAAGAGCCGCTGCAGAGCAAAACAGAGTGAATATTGGACTCATACATTCATGACAGATACACAACTCTGAATGATAGTGTCTGTATCTTCTGATTCTGTAAATATGCAACATTTTGTACATAAAAAGCAACTAACTGGTGAAGAAATTGCAACATTTAGCACTTAAACCATTTTTCAGGAGTTTCAGGAGAGAAAACAGAATATTAGAAAGAACATGACTCCAAACAGTCAGCTGGATGTGTAAATGAGCAATTGTTTGCTAACACGTTCGCTAACAGCTTTGTAAGGTGAATTTTATGTCAGTTGTTCCATTTTTAGTATGTTGCAGAGTATCTCTGTAGCCAAAGTGAAACAATTGGAATTAGCTGAATTTGTTTTCACTATTCAGATGTGTTGTGAGGATGACAATATCTACTGGACCAGACGTACATTAAGCCACAAAAAAATCATTTAGACTCGATTTTTTTAGCTCATTATTTTATGATTTCTGATTTTTGATTTTCTTTAAAAATAGATCCAGAAGACTGTACACCAGCGGTTGTAATCCAATATGGCCGCCAGGCCAGAGGCTGTTTGGCATCATCACCTGAGAGCCCTCCATCCTCATTAACCTGCTCTTTCTTGTGTTTCTACTGTTGTGTACTGACAGAGACAGACTCAGAAGTGGACATAGCTCACAGTGACGACTCGGACATTGTGGGCTCTTTATCGTGGACCACTCCGCTCCAGGATCTAGAGCCAGTGACGGAGGACACCATGTCTGGGGATGTCTTCACCTTACCACTGCCACACAAGAGCTTCAGAGAATATGTTGGCAACAAAACAGATCTGGGCAGAGCCGTGATACCAGCAGCTATCCTTGCCGGGTACACTGGTACGTTTATATATCTCGTAAGGACTTATATCAGTTGTAAATCTATGCAGCAGGTCTTCAATCTATTCTGCGCACTATGTTTCAATAGGAAGTGGTCCCATTCAGTTGTGGCAGTTTCTGCTGGAGCTTCTCACAGACCGCAGCTGTCAGTCATGTATCAGCTGGACAGGAGATGGGTGGGAGTTCAAGCTGACGGACCCCGATGAGGTACTTAACACCTGAAGATTTGAGCAATACGGGATGTAAAATAGCATCGGCCTTGCTTAACAATGAGACTAGAAGCTAGCCCATCTCTGTCAAATGATTTCAACAACTCTAAAAGGTATTTTCTCACTTTATACTGTATCTAGTTTATTATAACACATGGAGATGTTAGCTGCTGGTTTGGGTTGCAGTAGCTACTTTTCAAGTACTGCATCGCAAAACCTTGTGTAGAGGCTGTAACGTTTGTGCACTACTAGCTGACAAGAAACACTTGGAAGTAATAATAATAATAATAATAATACATTTTATTTATAGAGCGCTTTTCAGACAAGACTCTTTACATTAAAATCCTCATATCAAAAAGCTATACACTAAAAACATAAAATACACATTAAAAGCAGTTGTGAACAGGTGGGTTGTGAGTTGAACATGGAGAGGTCGGTGCAGTCTCCCATGTGTTTGGGGAGAGAGTTCCAGAGGGAGGGGGCAGCTATGGAGAAGTCTCTGGAGAACGTATAACAGTTCTGGAGTTGTTGACAGATGTGGTTTTCATCTTCTCTGCTTTCAGCTTTTGTGCTAAGCTAGGCTAGGCTAAACATACCCTTTGGCATGTTTCTTTAAAGGTGCAATGTGCAAGTTTTGGCCACATACTCCCAACAAATAGGGGGCGGTATTTCACCTCTACTACTGGGTCCATACAATCGTTATATACAGTCACCAGATAATTCAAGGCAGTCCCTCAGGATCAGACCCCCATTGCTGAGGTTTTAACTGGCTGAATTCAAGCAAAATGCTAATTATAAACTGCTAACTGAAGGTCCGTCTCCCAGAGACAAAACGTCTCATTTCTGACACTTTGGATTGAATCCAATAAACAAACTATCAAAATGTACACAGATCCTGTACCTTCAGGGCCTTTCATGTTGGACCGCAGGAAGACTGGACGCTACGGAGATTCCCTATTGCCTCTCGAGGTGGTGATACATGACAGGACGGGTCACGATCAAATCGAGTTCAATCATGCTCTTTTATTGGTCTAGCTCTTCACATTTGTGTATGCAATTTGTTTAAAATCAATAAATCAGTCCAATTCTATGTGACTCCAGCGACTGCTGTTATCATTTAACAATGCTCAAACATAGAAATCTGTTTATACAGTTTATCATCATTATATAGCTGTAATGAGTGGTGTGGTTGAGATGTAGCTCTGTCTCCAGGTGGCCCTGCTGTGGGGTCAGAGGAAGAACAAACCCAAGATGAACTACGAGAAGCTGAGTCGCGGTCTGCGATACTACTACGACAAGAACATCATCCGCAAGACGGCCGGCAAACGCTACGTCTACCGCTTTGTCTGCAACCTGCAAGGCCTGCTCGGATACGAGGCCGGGGAGCTGCACGCCATGTTGGACGTCGGTAACAAGAATCGCTAGAGACCTCAACAAACACTGGCAGCAAAGAGACACTTTTTATATGGGATCCTTCAGTTCATAACTTTCTTATCACTTTCCTTGTTCATGAGAATGGACCATCAGAGGCTCAGAAAGTGATACACAAATTTTGTGTGTGTGTGGGGGGGGATGTTGCGGTTTTCTCCGAATGTAAGTTTTGAGCCTTAATGGATGAAATGTAGTACTTTATTTTGATTGTTATCACTGTCAAACAATAAAACAAAGCAAATAAATCCACATGATTTACATGAGACTGGTGGGTTTGGTTTATCAATATGCTGTAAGCTGCTGTTGTTGTTATTTACAGTCAGAAACTAAGCAGACAGGACAGACATCTGTCTACTAGACTGCGGTGTTGAACAAAGAATCCAAGAGGTGTTTTTAACAGAGATCAGCTGGTGGCTGGACTAATGGAACCTAACTGATGTATTCAGACTCGCTCAGCCAACTCCTTCGGCCTTTCACTTCACCACAGATGTGAAGCAGGCTGTGTGTGGGTGACTGCAATAGTCGGCTCCTGCAGAGAAATCAAGCAGCCAAATCTAACATCTCCGGCCTCACAAGGCTTGTTTATTGATTTATTGCCCTCTTAATTCCTAATAGCAGGGGATCCATTTCTGCTCCTGAGGATTTAAGAATGACTCCTTTCAGTCGAGCCCTAAAGCAGGTTTATGATGTAGACTCATGTAAATAGAACACACAAGTCCTTAAGAAATGTGTCTATTGAGGTCATTTAGTGTGATGGAAAACATAACGCTTTTTGAAGTAAAACAGTCTTAGTATAGTGGAAAGAAAGTCTTAATAAAGAGCATCGGGTCCAGTGTCAGCCACTTATCAATGAGTGTAGAAAACCTAACATCATATGATAGCAGGTTGATTAAATACATTTTAAGCCACATGTATCCCATGATGCACTGAGTCAGCTCTGTGGTGCTCAAGAGGATTTAGGACTAGAACCACATGAGGCCTGCTGACATAACTCTGTTCAGTCGAAACAATGTCAGCAAGAGAGTTTAATAGTGTTTAACCTGATACAATTGGATGGAATATCACTTTGAACCCACTTGGGTGGGTTTATTATCTCAGATACCACAATTCTTTCCCTCTTTTTCTTTGTCACAGTATTTGATTGATTGCTGTCAGTTGGACAACAGACATGATTTTGCTGAACAATAATGCTCTAGAGAAATTACTCTTATTATATAAATAACGCTTGCTATTTATACTGCTATTTGCAGTGGCACTGGACATTGGGCTTTATGAAAGGATGAAATGAACTCCACTGGACCTATTAAATCTATTAAATATAATGAATTGAATATAATAGGCTAATAATCTCAGTTTAAGAATAGTAGAGAAACAGTATTCTCTGGCTCATGAGCTCAATGCTGATATAATGCTTATATCTTGAGAGGGACGGACCACCTAGCTGACCCAATCATGATGTCATGATGCCGTCTCATGACATCATCGTTAATAATGACAACAGCTGTGCAGGGCTGTGTGTAAAGGGATGGCACGGGGTGGCACCTGCTACATAACCAGCAGTCATACAATCCTTATTTAATAATCCTCATCATTTTGCCAAAGCTCTGTTTCGTCGTACACACCCAAACACCAAGCCCTTAAGATTCATTCATCTTTGAGGCCATCTTGGATCAGCAGGTGCTGAAACAGAGAGAAAGAGATGCGTTTACAAAACAGAATAAAGTGCCTGGAATAAAATGACTTTCCATGATTCTATTTTGTTTCTCTGTTTGCTACTTTTGTTACTCACAGCTCTCAGGGGGAAACTGCTGTGGTATAAATTACAAGGTTAATGTCATATTCTCCAACCCTGGAGAGAGACGACCGTCAACCAGCGAGTAAACTCACTCTCCCCCATGTCGGCTCTTCCATTAGCGGGCCCTGGGAGGGAAAGTGGTGGAAGTAATCTTCACACACTCGATGCTCTCGCTCCGTTTCTGTCTCCTGTTCACTGAGCGACGAAATCCAATCAGCATTCAGCTGAATCAGCATTCGGCCACGCTATAAATGTGTGGATGCAAATGTATGTTGACACCTGAACGTGTCGCACACGACAAGGTATTTCTTTGTGGACAACGTGACTCCCTTGAAGGTAAAACAAGTGTAAAACATGTTTTGTCCTACATGTAAAACATCATCCCCCCCCGTTTCATCACTGACTCCAGATCAGAGAGGCCGTTCACATCCAACGACATCCTTGAAGTCCACGTTTCTTGTCAAAAGAGTAGCTACCCATCACCAGTTACCACGGGGAGGAAACTGTGGACTGTTTAGAGCTAAATCCCACTGAAAGGTTTCCTCTCTCCTCGCAAACACAGTAAACACACTCATGCTCAGCTGCACGCCTTAATCTCTGTAAAAGGTAGACTCCTCTCTGTCACACACACACACACACACACACACACACACACACACGCACGCACCCCTAAACTTATACCTGTCTCGAGCCCCTTACCTTCACCTTCACAACTCACCCCTGCCCTTACCTAGAGCTGAGCAATATGCCCAAAAGTGTTATAACAATGTTTTTTTCCTTTTGATTAATATCAATAATCATCACTATATATATTTAATGATAACAATAATAATGCTCATTTTACAGCTCTAATAATATTCTCCTTAGGATAGAACTCAAGAAACCAGAAGGTTAATTATAGTTTTTAGTTGATTGCTTATGTACAGTTTATATACAACGCTTATTACATTACATTACAGTCATTCAGCAGACGCTTTTATCCAAAGAATAGAATTCAGATTCTATCACATTCATACGCTGCAGGCACAGCTGTGGGAGCAATTTTTTGGATTAAGTGTCTTGCTCAAGGACACATCGACATGCGACTACCAAAGACTTGCTCTGGAACTACTAACATGAAGAAAGTAATGGAATATCTGCACAGTATTTGATTAGAAAAAAAGGATAATGAATAACAAACAGTAGTGTGCTATTGCCACATCCAAAGAAAAAGAAGACGACTTGAATGTGGATAAAATAGGTAATATTATGGCTGATAACTTTATCTTAAATAACGTATCATCGTTCTTGTGGAATATTTTCGAGAATATGGAATATTATCACCCAACCCTTACCCTAACTTAAACCTTTAAACCAAGTGTGAACCCTCACAGGTCTTTGACCTGAGGACCGGCCAACATGTCCTCACGTTCCCAACATGTCCCCGCTCTGAAGGTCCAAAACTCTCAAGTGGTCCCCACAAAGATAGATGTACAAGTACACACACACGAGCATGTTCAGTTTTTACTGACTGGCCTCTGATTGGTTTTAACAAATTGGTGAAAACTACACATGGAACATGTTTCTAACCAAGAAAATCATAGTTTTTTAATGATTCCATAGAGTTATACAGAAGATATACCTCCACTAAATAATGATATGAAAGATTCCACTTCTGTGCAGTTCATGTTATTGATCCCCAGAGGAGAGAAAAACATGTTCACAACCACAAATGTGTGTTCGCCCAAAAATGAAAAGCCACAGATTGACTGATCAAAGCACACAGCTGTGATGTCTGACCCTGAAAACCTCACAGCCACGTGGGGGTCCGCCTGCTCTTAATAACACCTCATGGAGACCTCTGTGCTTTGTGTGGGCTTCACTGGACTCAAACACACACACATCATATACATACACGCGCACTAGTGAATAAATGCTTTGTGTTCTACTACGATGATTTGTATTGTAGCTGTATTCATCTCATTTATATTCAAAGCCCACTCTTTACATGCTGTTCACTTGATTACAGACCTGTAGCTCACATATAAAGCTATACACACATGGACCTGATGTTGGACTGAAGCCCCGCTAATGATCAGTGGCGCTCCCACAAATGTTTCAAAGGGGTGGCCAGATGGGGCTACTGAAAAACCATCCATGATTTTATGATTATGACCAAAATATGACTTCAAATAAGGTTCTTCTTCCCCTGAATTCAGCACATTTTCATGAGTCATTTAAAGTAAATGATTCTACTCTGGACCGTAACATTCAGATTCAGTTTCTCACAAGCTGCTGCTGCTGCCGGGTGCACGCACACACAGACACACACACACACACACACACAGCAGCATGACAGCTGCCCCAAAAGTCAAGCAGAAACTTGCCAGCCGATGTGTTAGTTGAGGAATGGCTCGATTTGATACGCAGCAGAGCTTCCTATGAGCGGCGCACACATTTTAAACATCAGTGTTCCATCATGTTCATTTGACAGTGAGGAGAAAAATTGTGTTGACGGTTAATATTCAATTAATTGTGCAGCCCTATAACTGAATTTCAGGAATTGTATTATGCTGTTGTAGTAGTGAGGCTCATTGGAGGAATGGCATATTAATATACTTTGGTTAAATAAAATATATGATGTGCATGGACTAATACAGGCAATGCTGGTATGTTACTAAGTACATTTACTCAAATACATAAATATAAGGTACTTGTACTTTACTTGACTACATCCATTTTAGTTTGAGTTAAATCTTGTACTTTTACTCCTTTAGTCCTCAGCTGTAGTTTCTTGCCAGGTGAGTGTTTCCTCCGCTTCCTGTCCAGTGAAACGTATCTCCAGATGTGTTGATGTTGAGATAAACTGAAGGATGAAGTGTTCCTGTATGTGTTGACACAATTCTCTCGCTTCTTAAGCTAAATAGACTAATTAACATACCTCTTGGATCAGCTGGAAAATGCACCATCACAAAGCTGAGGTGCTAGTGAAATGTAGAGGCTGCAGTTACGTTTATCATTTAAGCTGTAAAAATATGAATGAAAAACAAGTCCACCTCGTGGTTCATGGTGCAGTGAAGTCAGTTGTATATCTTTATATATTAGCCCGATAGAGTGCTTAACACAAGCTTAAGAGATTTGAACGTCTGGTTCTACATCATAGTGCGTCAGTAGATATGCCTCTCGTGGATTTGGAAGCTTTTATGTGTCTTAATAAAAGACGGTTGCTAACAAGTAACTAAATGAGAATATGAAATGTCATCACGTCGACTTGTCCGCCTTCACAGCCTCGTTGTCTTTACAGCCCGTTAGCTTTCCTCGTCTGTCCTTTGCATTTACGCTTCAGAAACCACTAAGTGATGTCCATTTGTGCAGATTATCTTGCCGAACTAAATTTGTAAGTATCATAAATGTTTGTTTGCCACAGAATTAATTTTCTGCAATAATCCAAAAGCTTTGTGCAGGGAACAGTGTGATGCTAACGTCCTGTAAGTCATCCCTGCAGTATTGCAGTATTGCATCACAATACAGTCTGCAGAGCAGAGGAGACGCTCTGTCCTTACACTCTAAATCTTATCCTGCTTTTACTCTTTCTGAAATATGAATTTGTCAGCATGCATGTTGAGTGGCAAAGATAAAACATGTATCCAATAACTACAGACTTTGAGATCTGAAAATGAGACGACTGACAGGAAACAACCAACAAAGACAAAACACAGCATCCAAGAGTTTTATTGCCACCAGAACATTTCATTGCATTCATATCAGTACTGCTGACTTACAGAGAGCACGCGTGTTCTTTTACGTATCAGAAGTAGGAGGCCTGTTTCATAGAAGAAGTTCTAAACTGATGTGAGTGTGATGCAACATGTGTGTGTGTGTCACTGTGATTTCTGTTTGTCCCACTGTTCTGGTGTGAGGGTTTTCTGTTCAAAAGCGTGGATCTCTTTCAGCTCTTCCGCTAGGCACGTATTCACCATCCTGTTCAAACACAACACATGTTAGGAGTGTGCGCTACATGTCCAGTAGCCACAGGAGCGCTGTGCATTCATCACACACCTTTACTTTGGCTCATTCAATCAATCTTGATGTTTTAATAGGAGTTGGAGAGTGTCTCCTTCTCTCCAATATAATGGGACCATGCCACCGGACTTGTGGTGCTCAGAGCGTAAAACAAACTCAACAGCAACGTCTCTTTCCAGAAATCATGACCCGGTTACTCAAGATGATCCACACACTTTGTTATGAGCAGTTTTATGCAGGAACTATTTTCTTTCTAACAGAGATCCTGCATGAAACGGCACTAAAGGTAAGAGGAAATATATATACTGTATATAGTATATATTTGACTTAGGGGTGAACTGTCCCTTAAGTCTGTCGGTGGTTGATAGAGTGCTGAGGTTTGTATGATAGGTTTGATTATTTTTCAAACATAAGTTAAAATTAGATTTGATTAATAAATTGGAAAAATATATCTTGACAAAATGATGAAATGTTAAAACTACATGTTATGTTGTTATAGTTTTTGATTTGAACTTCAAACAGCACATCTCTCCATACAGTATACCTTACAACAACTATACCTTTAGATACTATGTGTGAGATCTACTGTGGTAATACTGTGGTATATTTGTTTGTGTAACTTAAACACTCTAACTTGTCATTTAGCAACAGAAGGAGGAACCCTTACACAGATATTTTCTTTTATTAAGTTGATTTAATGGTGAAGTTCTAGGTTGTACATTTTAGTTTTTGACAAGAAACTTGAGGCGGCTCATCATGTCATGGATTAATAATACATTAAACAAATGGTAAGTGTATGTTGAAGTACATGGGACTTAGTGTTTTGTACTATGGTATTGAATTGGGTATTGAGAATGGTGGAATGTCACAGGTATTGGTGTTGACTACTAAATGTCTGGTATTGTGACATCCCTATTTATAAAGCATTCTAGCAACAGAGGCCTTAACGTTTACAGAAAGCACAGCATGGCGGCCTTGATACACCTTCAGCTTTGGTCAATAAGCTTCTACTGTAACTTCTTTCCATCATCAGTTTCAGTTATTCCAATAGCTAAATAAGTTAGCTGGTATGAGATGACCTATAGGTATGACTACCGTCACTGCTTGTAATGTCTTTCTGATAGCAAACATGTATTACGTACTAGTTACTACAGTGTGCTACCTGTGTCTCTGTAACAGCGGCTTGCCCTCAAACTGGGACGACACCACCAGGACTTTGTAGCTGGCAGCACATCTGTTGGGTGACGTATCCTCCACATCCTGCAGTAGACAAGATCAAAGTACGTGTGATGATGAGCTCCATCTTGCTACCTGGCTCATTTTTTATACTATAGCTTTTATACATTACATTAGGGTTAGCTTTTATCCAAAGCGACTTACAATAAGTGTATTCAACATCAGCGTTCAAGAGAACTACTGGTCATATATTTTACTATACTATTTCTAGTCAGAGTGAGTCACTTTGGATTTTTTTGTAATCAACATCCAGGGTGGCATCATTCAGAAACAAAAAGGTGGAGCAGTGTTTGTGTTTACATGATTTTTCATTTGCTTGTTAAAAGCTAATGTTCTGCCTTGTTTTATTAGCTGAGGGGCTGCTTAGCACCACATCGCACTGCTTAACCAAACTCAACTAAAAAAACATTGAATTTAGTGGCGCTTTACTTGTTACACACACACACCCCCACACACACACACACACACACACACTGACGTTGAGCTAGGAGAACATGTAAGTTAATACAAATAACACACAGAAACCTACCACGTGTACAGCCGCAAGCTCCTTAGTAAGTCTATCCCGGATGTGATCCGCTGTAATAGCCATCTCTGCGTGAACAAAACATATTCGGTCAAAATTAGTAGATCACTAGCAATGGGGCTACATGTGTACAGATTTCTAGTCAGAGACACATAGACTGTAGACATACTGACACCGGAAGTAGTATAGCAATGCTCGAGTTTAAAATGTCTACATCACAGTTCACATATTCACAGTGTAGTTCTAATTTAGAAGTTCATCATTACCAAAGGTTGTGTATTAGACGGTGTTCTCGCTCATTTCAGTCACCGTGCGAGAGGGGTGGACATCATAAGTGACCGAATATTGTGTGTATCTATGACCAATCAGCTGCTGTATATACGCGTTATGGGCGGGACACATTTGTAAAGTAGCGAATCACAATATTAGGAGTCCTTGCAGAAAGACGAACTAAATGTTAATAGTGATTCATATAAACGAAAATACATATTTCAAATTGACGCAGTTTGAAATGGAGCACTATTAATTAGTTGTTATACATGATGTGAGCGTTTTATTTGCCTCACAGTGTGACACACTGATTTCTTTTCAAACATATTTTATCAGGCAACGTCAAAGGCTACTACGACATACACTGTTTACATGCTAACTCTCATTTCATTTGTTGAAAGTCAGTTATGCGTAACTATGCGTATGCATTCGGGCAATGGTACAATTAATGTTGTCTTAAAACTGGCAGGATTAACTTAATCTATTAATCTTAATTTCTATTTATTGTTTTTGTTCATGCTTTTACTAAGATGTACATAAATCAGCCAACGTTATGCTAACGTTACTTAGCTAATTCCATGGATGTTCTAACGTTAAAGCAGAAGCTGCAGAATAATACCCCGCTTATTTCCTTCCGCAATGGTTGTCGAGGTAGAACACTTCTTTGGTGTGTACATGTTGTACTGCACCAATGTTAAATTCAAAGGCCGTATTTACATCGGCTTCACGGTGAACCCTGAGCGCAGGATCGGACAGCACAACGCCGGGCGGCACAGAGGGGGAGCTAAGAGGACCAGTGGAAGAGGACCATGGTATGACCTAATGTTACTGTACATGTATGTTACATGATGAGCAATGTGTAATCACATCATCAGTTACATTCTGCTCATGTTCCTTGTCTTTTCAGGGAGATGGTCCTCATAATACATGGCTTTCCCTCGGATATTGCTGCCCTTCGTGTAAGTTTGTTTTTTGACGAGACTGGACAATATTTTGTACCAAAGTTAATAACATTAAATCTGACTATATTCCATTCAAAACGTGCAGCGTCAACAGTATTCACCTGAAATGTCTTCTCGTCAGGGTGTGAAAGCAAACAGCGCTTATACTTTAGGTGAATGAGAAACAAACTTTATGAGCTGATTGCTTCATTATGATCTAAGGCAGAAATACATAACCAACAAACGCTACATTCGTCCCTTCACAGTAAATTACAAAGAACAACACAATCGACTGTGTTGCTGTTTTCTTTTATGTGAAAATTACTTTCCTCGAACGCTGTCATTTTTTTTCAGTCAGGAATGGACTAAGGGACCTTTGTGCCAAGGCTAGATCTTGAGTTTAGTCCTGGATCAATGGTTGTTGGGAACATTTGGTCAAAAAGGAGTTCATCTCTGCCCTCTCACACTTTCTGCTCTAAACCTTCATATCCAGTTACACACACACAAGAATACATTTGTACAGTAACGATTTCTAATAGAAAGACAATCCATTCATCTTTTGGATTGCATAGTAGTACATACTGTGATTGTGATTGCACTCTCCAGATTCAGCTTCTACACGAAATAGTAAGACCAGATCACCTCAATGAAAGCATCTTCTCACTCCCATTCTGCAGATACTGATGAAACAACATTCATCATTTCAGTTTCAATAGCTTTCTGGAATGTAACAATCTAGAGACAAGGTTTTATTTGGTTATTCCACATAATTCTTACATTATATTCTACATTACAGACATTAGGTCAGTGACTCCACAGGGTTTCTTGTTGCTTTCCAGACTTCAACTTACCCGGAAATCTTATGCTGCTAAATGAAGAGTGTCTGTGGTCCCTTAGATATGCTCTCTTAAAACATAAAAAGTACTGACATATGTTAAATACATCCATCTATCTATTTATTCGTGCAAACTATGCCCCTTGAACCTTAAATTCCTGGTGTCCTTTTTCTCACTCTGCTCATTTACATATCATATTCATTTGTTTGAAGAAAAACAACTGAATCCATTATTTTGATATTTGATTTGATTAGAAAAACCTGCTTTATTCTATGCCTAATTCAAGCTATCATCATTATATTTGTCAGTTTGAGTGGGCGTGGCAGCACCCTCACACCTCCAGGCGTCTCTCCCACGTCTCCCTGCGCTCCAGGAAAGAGTCGAGTCTGCAGTTCCACTGGCGCGTCGTCTCCAACATGCTGCGGGCGGCGCCTTGGAGCAGACTGCCGCTGACGGCACGCTGGCTCAAACAGGAGTACAGGATGGACTTTGAGCCCGGCCTGCAGCCTCCGCTGCACATCCCCATCGCTTTTGGGAGTGTGAGAGCCAAGAAGAAGCTGCAATCTGAAGGAGAGGAGGAGGAGGAGGAGGAGGAGGAGGAGACAGCCAAGTGTTTTCTCTGCAAAGAGCTGGTCAAGGTAGTCTTCTGATTATTGAAAATTTAAAGATACTCTGCTTTTTTATTTGAGTTCAACAATATTTTGTGAAATATCTTCAACCTGACATGTACATAACAGAGTGTAATGTAAAATTACAGTCCGTCAGCCTAGCTGTTTCCCCCTGCTTCCAGTCATTATGCTAAGCTAGGCTAACCACGTCGTGACTCCAGCTTTGTACTCTGCACACATACATAGGATTAATTATGATCTCCATCTGAATATCTAACACCTAGAAAGAAAACAAATAAGCATTTTTTACCATCATGTAGAGCAATTTAACAATACTAAATAGTTGCAAAATGGTTAGCATGCTAACATGCCAATACTTGCATGTTAGCATGCTAATGTTTGCTTAGGCTAACAGTTAGCATGTTAGCTTGTTAGTGTGCTAATATGCTAACATTACAGACCAAACTGTAAAAAGAATAGCACAAAATACAACATCAACGCTTACTTACAACTTAATTACGCATTTACCTTTGGCTCACAGATGAAAACTATTCCTTATATCCAACCACTGCCAGACAGCCTTTCTGATAGTAGAGTAATGTCAGAGTTATGTTATGTTCTGTAGTGGGGAATTTCAAAATGTAATAACCTCAGTGGCGGGCCGTGCATTTTATACCTGGGCCTTCTCTGCTGTCCTGCAGTTGAACCACCTAACAGTTATTATTTGTTTCGTGTAAAAATGAAGCCAACACCTATAAATATACTAACTGCAGAGTGCAGATAACGTTACATGAATATGCGCACGGGATGCTGCGTCATTAACGGACAATGCATTAAAAAAACTTTACTTCCAGTAAGAAGTCCTTCTGGATTCATGGACGCCAGTGAAGACAGTCGAGCCTCCCCAGTTGTATTTCTTGAATACGTTTTAATGCGTTTGAGGCTGAAAATGTCCGCTCCACAGAGACAGCAGATATTGGGATTGTCACCGCCCAACAGGTCAGGCTAGCCCACTGACCAATCACGTATGGCTAGGCCAGCTAGCAGGCTCTGACACGTCAAAGAATACGCCCAACATGTCAAACTAAAGATCTGATTGGTTGAAGACTATGACAATCAACAATATCGTCCCCATTCACTTAAACTGCAAAGAGATTCACTTGTAAGTCTGCAGGCCTCAGGTCTCTCTTCTTACCTAGAGACATAGAGGTGAGATCTGATTGGATAAAAGCTCTACTTAAAACAAGCTGCACTTGAAGCATAGCAACTGAGGAAGACAGTAGCTGTGCAATGAGAAAATAAGATAATGGGAAAAATTATTATAAATTATAATACATGTAGTGTCTTTAAGAAAAATTATTAAATTATAAAATAGCTATAACGTTTTGATTCTGTTTAGGCCAGCAGAGAAGGCCTTGAAGGCCCTGACGGCCCACCACTGTGTAACCTTCATTTCAATACAATCTGTTAGTTTCAGGCTGCATAGTGAATTGTCGGTCCGTACTTCTTTTTATATCTCTTCTTTTCCGCAGGTGTCAGAAAAGCTGAGCTGTTTCCACCCGTCCTGTGGAATGAGCGGTCATGTGATCTGCCTCGCGAAACATTTCCTGAAGTGGGAGCCGTCCCACCTCCTGCCAGTGGAGGGCGAATGTCCGGCCTGTTGTCACTCTGTGCTGTGGGGGAGTCTCATCCGCCACAAACACTGCTGCTTCGGAAACCTGGAGGAGATCACACCGTCTGCGTCTCAGGTTGTAGACGATATACACATATGTCTGTTTAATATATTGGATTTTTGAATGTGGCTCTACCTAGCTAGATATAAGTATTACCAGTGAATGTAGTTTCTGCTTCACTAATTGGTCCTCTGATCTCCCACAGAGCCACTGGGCAGATGAGCTGCAGACATGAGTGGAGCCTGCAAACCTTTTATTTCCTGGTTGAATGACCTGCAGTGTCCTCGAGCATTATGTAGATCATGTGTAATGGATGTGCCGGTGGAGCAGGAATGTACAGTGACTTCATAAAAGCTGTCCAGCAGAGATGTGCACAGGTCCAACATATCTCTTCCATTTGTATCATTCTGTTCACAAAGTATCATGTATGTTTAAAATATTCCATGTTTGTGGGGAAAGCACTTGTAATGTGTGTTACAAATAAAGCGATGTTGTTCTATAGAGTGCATCAAGAATCATTTTCTGTCATTTATACAGTGGTAATAGATGAATACACAGATATATAATTCTAATAAACACATGTTGTAGGGAGGAAGAGCTCAGGTGGGACTAACGAAGGCTGCATTCTAGTCAGCTGTTCCAGGTTCAGGGTCCTGGTGTTGTTCTTGTCGGCTTATTGTCTTGAGTTACAGGATTGCACACATTTAACTCCATCATCCATCCATCCATATTTAATGGTATTACTGTTTGCTTTTTCCAACACCGAATTTAGGTTTTCAGGTAAAAACAGCAAACAAGCTGGTTACAAAGGGAAATTTGTTATATATTTTGTATATTTTGACTATTGGTCAGACAAGAAGAAAGTACAATAAAACAGCTTTTGGGAATTTGGTAAATACTGTTACTGCTTTTTTATATTTATATTTTTAAACAAAGCAAAAAATCAAAGATGAATCTTAAACTATATATTTAATTGAGAGTAGGCCTGGGAGGGAGGTATCGCAATAATTGATGCGTACTAAGAAATATTACACCTTAAAGATGGCAGTAAAAGGCCCTATAAAATAGGTGAAGGGACAACTAAGAAACATTGTCCCAATGTTCATGGAAATGTCCAAGAATTAGGACATTTTGGGAATACAGTTGGACCAGTGATGTAGGAGATTCTATCTATCCAAATAGCTGTGGAAACTTTTTTTTTGGTTTTGTTTTGTTCTTGGCATCTATCTGGAGGTGGCTATTAAACACAGAGAACAGATTTACATACACACTCAAAGACAAACCAAAAATGGTTCAAAGTATCTGGTTTCCATTTCTACATGACCTTAGGAACAAAGATGTATCTCATGTTGAATGAGTCTGAGGAAGGTTAACTATAGCATCTGTGTAGAGGTCATTTAAGCAACTGTTGTTGAGCGATGTGGTTCAATATTTAGTTAGTGTAAATGTGTCTGTTGTGAGAGGCCTCTCAATGTACTCCCTCTGTTTTCTTCAGAATATAATTATATTATTTCACCAGACTTTAGCTGCAAGGGAGGCAACTCATAAAGCTCACAAGCACTTAAAAATATGCAACATAGTTGCATTCTACTAACTGTGTACTTCTACTTCAGAGTAAACATTGTAGTACTACATATTCCTGACAGAGAAATGTTACTGGTTATGTTGCAGATTCAGAATTTCCTACAAAATATGCAGAATTTATAATAATATCCGTTAAGACGTTAGACGTTAAGTAAATGTAAGTACATTGTGCTGGTAATGCCTCTCTTTTACTCTTCACTTTAAGTACAGATTTGAACGGACTCATTTCACCGGCGGCAACGTTATTTATGTAATAGACTAGGTTATTCTAAAGTTGGCAAAAGATGAACAAATGACAGACTGTCGCTTGTTCCTGTGTAGGTTGTCGGCTCGTGCTCGTTTAATCCAGGGAAGTAAAGAAAGGTTTGGTAGTAAGTTATCCGGCATCCAGCAGCCAAAGTCCACTGGAATCCATCAGCTGCTGTCTGCCCGCTGTGGACGACATGCGCGATTCCACAGAGCCCTGATGCTCCGCCCCGGCTGCTGCACAGAGCCGTGTTCCATTGCTTGTTTTTATTAATATTGAGCGATTCCAAATTGTACCAAATTCAAAATAAGCCCTCCGTTACAGCCACCAAGTGTGAAGCAGAGCAGTAAGGGCAGCTGCAGTATGTACTACAAGTAAAAAGACTAAGTATGCGATCTGGAACGCAGCTAGAGATTTCTTGCTTTATAGATGGATGGGAGTTTATTTAATCATTTATTTCTGATTACTTTAATATTGTTCGCTCATTGATATGTATGTATGCATGTATAATATGTCATGTATATATTATTGTATTTGTAAGTGTGTTTTGTAAAAACTATTTAAAAAGCTATCTGACCCAGCTTCAACACAAACTCAGCTTCAACACGACGTATGACAGACGAGCAAAATCTTAAAACCGCTTACCTTGCCTATAGGACCTTTCTCAACCCTTCCGTATGACCAGCGTTTAGCCATCCACGTTCCCCGCAGCTCTCGATATCCATTCTCCGTCAACTCCGAAGTCGTCCGCCCCCGCCTTCCAACAGCCCGGGAGGAGATCCCGATTTCGGCATCCCATCCCCCGACCCAACGACCCTAATCCCCTCATCCTTTCACCCCACGACCCTAATCCCTTCATCCATTACCCTACATCCCCATGCCGCTCTCCCGACCACCGGAGATCCTGACGTCATGACTCATCACACGGCCGAAGAAGCCCAGCCATCGATATCAGTGCCTCCAGAGGGCCAGGTCATATACCACCTTCAAGCTCCCTCCGTGCTAGAGACATCTCACCCTGCAATGTTTTTCCCCAAACTTCACTATTAACCCAGGCACATGCATCTCTCCATCCTAGCATCCTTTCCTTTCCCCTTACTTCTACCTTTCATGTCCCACCCACTTCGGCCAATTTAGGCTAACTCCTCCCACCTCTATCGGCTACCTGAGCTGCATAGACTGCTCCAACAACAGGGAACAGGTAGGTAAATGGCACAGCTACGGGAGCAGCTCGGGGTTGGGTATCTTGCCCAGAGACGCAACAGTTGTTTCTTCCTGCTTATGCTGTACCCCCTCTCTTCCTCCACCCCTACCCCCACTAGCCTTGCCCATCCCACCTTAAATGCTCCTCCTCACTTCCACAGCTCCGCCAGCAGACAGTTCCGGCATCCTTACGACTTATTTTCCCCCACTACCAGTTTCACTTTAGCCACAGCAGTCGCATCCGCTCGATCATCCCCCGTGCCACACGCTCAGGCAACAGATTCTCACCAGTAACTACATCAACCTCGCTCAATTATCGATACATCCACACGCAATCCCCACATCTCCAGGGAATTGCTAATCAAGCTCCGCCGCTGCACTCAAACAGCCACTCCTGTTAGGGTCCAAAGCTTCTCAAACTAAGGAAGGCCGCAGCTCACAAGGGAAAAGAAGCCCCCCCCCCTTTGCTCTTCTTTGTCCGTTAGCAAAGCAAGGCCAAAACAGCTGGTTCAAGTTAAAATCAAATGGATTTACTATCCAACAAACGCAAAAACAGTTACAAACCGAATCACACTATTAATAATCTAATGTTTCATGAAACAGAGACCCAATCCGGGCCACCCGGCAGTCTGGTGTGTCTGGCCGATGGCCCGCAGAGAGTCTGAAGATGTCCGGAGATCCACAGTCCTATCGTCTCAAGGAAAAGTCAGGAAAAGTCTAATGTTTCACATTCTTCCCCATCGATCAGCTCAGTGATTGGCTGAAATCCGATAAGCTCCTCCTTGGCTTATGACCCGTTCTTCTGGTCAGACACCCCTCCTTGCAGCGAGCTTTCGTCCATACCCCGCTCTTGGCACATACCTCGCTAACCACCTTATATGGTCGTGACCTGGAAACCCCCCTCTCACAGACACTCAATACATTCAATGACCACACTCTTTGGTTTAAACTTCTACACGTAAACACACTGTGACACATACTATCCACTATGAGTGCTTCTAAACATACTAGGAATGCTTTTAAACTTAAATTTCTCAGACTCCCCACCTGCTCAGATGTCACCAGGCTCCACCTAATTCCCAGCCTGGACTACTCCATGAAGTACATAAGAATCGATCACGCTACGTCCCCCATCCGCCTCACAGGCCAAGAAGCCGGTTGCCTAAGGCAGACATCACCAGCGCCTTCAAAGTCCTTACCACCGAACCCTACTACCGGTACCTTTTCGGTTTCCTTTGGAAGGATACGTATTACTGTGCCATGCGTCCGTCCAAGAGCAGCCCGAAAATTCCAATTGCTTATCCGAAGCACTCTGCCGGATCTTGACAAACGTCTCCTCACCGCAACCTCTCCCGCTCCATCACTTAATTCTACTGTCTTAAATTACCAAGGTCATTATTACACTACCTACTGCCACCCACTGGCACGGAAGAGTATTTAATTACTTAGCCAGCCACTATATTGCACGCTCAACAATGGCAAATCATTTGCAGCAACTAATTAATATATATGTATGTATATATATATATTAATATTCCCACGGCACACCTCTCACTCCTATGCCTGCCCCTCACTTCGGACCTCCTCACCCGCGGCATCCATACACTCCGCTCAGGCTATCTGTCTCCCTTCATGGACAAAGTATTAAAGTCCACGTTCTTGCCGGCTTTCTTTGGCTTCCTTCACTGCTCCGAGTTCGCCGCCTCGAACTCCAACCACCATCCTTAGCGAAACGTCACCGCATCCAACATCTCATCCATCCTCCCGACACAGTTGTCTATCACCTCAAATGCCGCAAGACCAACCAATACAGTCCACCTTAGCCCATCTACCTTTTCCGACTAGACTCATACCCAAGTCTGTACGAACCCATCCGCGACTACTTACGTAAGCTCAAGTTCAGCCACCCACACTTCCCCACAAGATCCCCTGTTCGCAAAGGGGTCACGCGGTCACCACCACTTTCGCCATATCTTAGCCCGATCCGTAATACCCCCCCCCCGAGTTTACTCGGGCCATTCATTTCGCATCAGCGTTGCCTCCACTGCTTCATGTCAAGGAATTCCCGACCTCATCCTCAAGATACTTGGTCGTTGATCTTCCCCCACGTACCTCTCCTACATTCGTTCCAACCCGGATGACACCAGAAACGCCCCCCCGGCATCCGTCTTTATGAAGCTGGGGGAATCTTTGGGGGACTCTGCACCACCAGAGCTTCCGAAGAGACAGCCCCCACTCTACAGTCTCCATTCCCCCTGTTCCCGCCAGCTGCCGGACACCAACGCTCCCCCATCGCTCGCCTAACCTCCTTTGTACAACCCTCCTTGTTTCTTCTTCCCTACACCCCTACATCCCTTCATCCCTCTACCTCGACCCCTACCCTACAACCCTTCATCCCTCGACGCCTTCCACTTCCTGAATCTAACTCATTCCATCACGCAATAAACCTCAAAACTCATATTGTTATTGGCATGGTCCTTGTTAGTGAAATTGAGTTTTATAAACTTAGTTCAGGAACAGGGACCACGCCCAGAACACAGCTCATTTCCTCTGCACAAAGTATTTAAGCATAACGAACCTGTTCACTTCCTCTTCGACTCTGTTTTCACATCCCTCCCCCCAACCTCGTTTTTGTCTTTCTATTCTCTCTCTCTCTCTCTCTTGCAGGTTTACAGGAACAACAAGGGACTCTGCACCACCAGAGCTTCCGAAGAGACGGCCCCCACTCTACAGTCTCCATTCCCCCCGCTCCCGCCAGCCGCCGGACACCTTTTTTTAATACATTTTTCAACATACTATACCATGACTTTTTACGACTGTTTCGACATAGATGCCAAATAAGTCATAGGGAGAGAACCTGGAAGCAAGTGTGTAGCAACTCATTCAATATGGACATCCACTGGAAATATTAATTTCAGGGCTGAATTAAAATGTATCCAGAATCTTAGTAATGACTGAGGTCAGGAGTCCAGATTCCACAATTACAATCCCACCTACCTTAAACCAGACAGGACTGGGACTGACTAGCCACCAAAATAGGCCTGTGAATATTTGAGATATTTTCTCATTTAATTTATCAATGTAAATGTGAAATTACTGTGTGCTGTTTCAAAGCCCTCTCCACACTGCCAGTGTACCTCAGTTTCTTTAATATGTTATTTAATGTATAATTTACCTGAACACACTCAATATGTATTCTTGGAAATATTACAGTAGATAAGCTCCCCTTCAGAGCGCTAAAACCCCAATGTTCCCAGAGACTGATGCCACTTTGGTGTCCTTAATGTGTCTTCAGACCTGATACATGGTGGACATCTACAACCGCCCCCTGAGACACAGTGCAAGTAAACAGAAATGGTGCCAGTGGACCAATATATGGAAGAGGGTGTGTCCCTGTAAGGTTTAACCTGTGACAATCACAATCACAGTCCAGCATGTTGGCACCACAAACTCCAAAAAAAATACTTTTTTCTTTCAAAAGAAAAATATAAAAAACAGAGAAACTTTTAATACAGCTTTTATTTCCCATAAATGAAATGTTAGTTGATATCACAAAGGAAACATCAGTAATGATATAGGTAGTGATCATCATAAAGTAATCAACAATCTGAACAAAAACATTTTCAGAAAAGCATTAATGTGTATCAATTTGTGATTATAAGCATTAAGTTCATTTGTTGCCTCTATAGAGTGGTGCATGAATGACGTGTTTTTGTTGGCCACCACGGCCAACAGTGAGCATCGCTCTGGTTCCCTCCACATAAAGCCAAAGGTTTCTTTTCTATTTTTCCAAATGAACACCACTTTTTCAAGACACGTAAAAGCTTAAAAATTCTCGAGAGCGATATTGACAAAGGTATTTTATGTTGTAAAACAAAACTTTAAGCTTGTGTTGACTGCAGAAATGATTTCAGGCAACCCATCGACTTTGAGACAAGGGAACCAGAAAACCAGAATGCTGACTAATTTCTGGGTTTTAGGACTCATTCCCACAGCACTCTATACAGTTGTAACTATTTACCTATGATTGAAGTTACTTTAGAGAAGGAGTACATATAAAACAGACATACTGAAATCCTCCTCAGATCATTAAAGCCCCAATGTTCTTGATTTTACTTCTTTTTTTTTTACCACTTGAGTGGAGTGGAACAAGCTGTTAACACAACGTTGACACATAAACACCTTATGAAGTAGCTATGAATATTATGACAGAAAATACTTGCATATTTTACACATCCAGCAGATCAGAGCAGCATTTAGTCGTGTACTTGTCCATCTGCTTAGTGTAAGTCCAAGTCTCTTTCAGCTCTGGTTTGGACTCCACCAACTCCTGAGAAAAAGATCTGTCTCTTTCACTGCTAAATGCTCCACTATGTTCACCACCTACTCTCTAACTGTGTCTGTCTTCTGTTCGCTGCTGGACAGGTAGGGTAGGTTTGTAACTACAACAACCTATTTCACATTAGATTACATTTTCACATTGTTAATACAAAGATATTGATTAGAGCAGCTTTAAATTTGTGTAGCATTTGTAAGTAGCTGAAAAACTGTCTTATGCGCTTGTCCACTTTGTCTCCTCACTGTTGGACAGGTGGCACATGCACAGTGATCACCGGCTGAGAGGGACAGAAAACAAGAAAAAGAAGATATTAACCCATGTAGTGGTTGATTAAAAGTTACTGTAACGAAACTCTGCTTAGGGTCCTAAAAACAAACATTGTGCTGGCCCTGCATCTTTCCTTTGCTCCTGTGGTTGGTATATATTTAGGCATTAGTAGTCAACCCTGTTATCCAAAGGAGTGCCATGATAGAACCAGATGTGGATACAAGATTTGTGACACAACTAGAAAATCTTTGCAGCTGTATTGCTACAGCTATTGTCAGCATGTACTCACCATTTTGGGAGCTGGCGAGCAGCAGTTGACCACCTTGCAGCAGTAGGCGGCCAGAGTGACGGAGATGGCGAACAGAGCAGCCTGAATGACCACAACCTCAGCAAAGAAATGTGAATTGGTGCTCTGTAATAGGGATAGGGTTTGCAGAAATTATGCTTGGACAATATAAAGAAAGAACAGATGTGATGTGTAGCATTATAGGGTTGCTCAAAGTGGCAGCTGAACTTGGACAAAGATTATACATTTTCAAGATACACTTGAACTAATATCTTAAGTGACTCTATCGGTTACACTTTAACTGACACTTCAGCTGCTTTCTCATGTCAAGTGACATCTTAACTGTCTTCATCTGTTACTATTCAATTGCTTTGATCGTGTAACCTATAACTCACACTTCAGCTGCTTTCAGATTTGAAATGATAATGTAATCAAACTCTGAAACATGAAATAATTGTTCTTAAAACGAGCAAACAGTTATAGCTCACCTCAAGTTTTTGGCAGATTTCTGCTAAGTTAGTGGAGTTGGAGTCATAGTAATAACTCCAGCAGCCATAGGTCATAAGATCCATTTTAATCATAGAAAAGATGAAGTTGAAGATGGAGGCGCCACAGGCCACAATCTGCATCCCTAAACAGGCCTTCAGCTGAAAAACAGGGGACTTATGAGACATATGTTCTACAAGACATTTACAGACTGGATAACATACGAGACAAAGGACGTGATATTTAAATCCTGAAATTAAAATTGCAAAAGCAAATCATTCGATCAATTTACCCATTGTACTAGGTAAATTCACAACTATTATGAAGTGTCACAGCCTGATGAAGCGGCTTCACTCTCATCTGCGGTGTATTAAATCATTGCTGCACTGTTTGCTGTGTGCTCTCTTTCACTTCCAGTTACACGAGCAACACGGCTGAATCTGGACACATATGGACAAGTCTGCCGGGGGCCGGTGGACTTGTGTAACAACTCAACCTGTGACCCAGTGACTCATCTGACTTCTCCTAGAGGAAGTGACTGAAGTGACTTTTTTTGGGGTAGGGGAAGTCCAATAGTACAAAATAGTCTTCATTTCTCATGACAAAACATTTTGATCAACTTGTTCTCACTCCCAACTTGTCAAATACCGCAGCTTGGTCAATGCCCCTAGGCGTCCGATACCGATGCATTGAGGCCCCCCTTAGCATCTGTATGAGACACACTTTCAACTTGCTCCACTGTTACCCCATCCACGTCATCATCACTGATGTAGTAGCAAGACAGCCTGCTGGGTTGGATGGGTGAAACAAACACAGGATGTTCACCCAGGAGCCCCTGTTCATGTCCAGTGTGAAACCAAGTCACACTGTGACTACTGTGACTAACTTTACAGTAGTTTTGTAAACAACTTACGCACTTAACTCACGCCAGTTACATTACAAACCGACTGATTTTACGTTACAAGCATACTTTTTTAACCCAAACCATGATGCTTTCCTAAACCTAACCGAGTAGTTTTGTTGCAAAAGCAAACCTAAAAACTAAATAAACCTACATTTAAAGTTTATCTTGAAAAGACTCTCTGCATGTAATGAGTGAAAACTGACACGCAGCACATGATGCGTCCACTAGCTATGCTACATTGGCACCTAATGCATCATAGTTTGAGGCGTAGGGCCACTGACGAGTATTTGACGGGTTGGGAGTGAGGATGAGATATGTTCTGGTAATGTCTGGAGGCAGTAGGCCTGGATCCGTGTTCTGTACTTGTTTTCATACTGTACATTGCTTATATAGGATTGGTGATCATGTTGGTGTCTCCTCTCAGTCGGGTAACTCACCGTTGGCAGATGGAGGTTCCGTGCTGCTACAGCCAAACTCCCAGCTATTATCAGCTGTGAAGAGAACACACATCACACAAACCAGGTGTCAGCGTCCAGCCAGAGTTCCACCAGCTGACAGCACAGTTTAACCACAACAGGAGGAAAGAAGGTGGCCTGACTACAGCTAGGAGAACAAATAGACATCAATTAGTCTAATCAATTAAAAACAATTGACTGTCCAAATATGTTGGCAAGTAAGAGTAGAAGTGAGTAAAGAAAATCTGCTGTCAAGGTATTTCATTTGATATCATGATATATATATACTCTTTGTGGATAGAATAGTAAAATTGTCACGGTGAGGCCGACCCAGTCTGAGGAATCTCTGGTATAATGTCTTCTGTGGCTCTAACAACAAGTCTTACATTCACACCTACAGTAAGACTTAACTATACGGACACATTATAAGTAAAAAGCTAGTACAAAAGACGTCTCTATGCGATATTATTGCCTGTGAAGTGAAGTTATCAATGAAGCAAACTTACATCTCAAAAAAAGAAATGAAAGCAGAATATATAGCTTTCTTAAACAAAACCAAACGAGCCAAACACGTCCCGTAGTCAGCTGCTCTGAAACATTAACATCTCTACAGATGTACTGAATTACTTTCTGCTGTCAAAGATCCTGGTAATGAGTTCCATGTCACCGATGCTCCACAATCTACAGTTCTCCGCACTAAACTAGTCGGCTACTACATGTGCACAATGAATACGACCTCCAGAAGCAGTGGTGTAACTAGTACATGTACTCAAGTATTGCACTTTATTCTAGAGACTCTATTGTATGCCTCGTTCTACTTCTACACTACATTTCACTTTTACTCCACAACAATGATTTGACTTTAAAGATTAAGATTTAAATATTAACATATTAAGAACTTTTAAAACATAATGTATAAAAAAAACTGCCAAACAGAAATATACAAATTGAGCTTAAATGATTTGTCGATTAATCAATATGTTTATTCATCAATTATAAAAAAACTATTTACAATCAACATTTCTCATATCAAGTCCCTGAAGTATTTCATGGCTTCAGCTTCATAAATGTACAGAAGAGCATCTCTGGATCTTTAGCTTTGATGCCATTTCTTTACAAATACAGAAGTGAGTCCTGCACCCTGTTGCTCTCTGTGAGCAGTGACCTAGAAGCTTCCATGTGTGTCACAGTGTCATCAGGGTTATCTGAGCTTGAGCTTGGACATGACAGCTTTAGGAGTGAGAGCCTGCAGAGTGCAGTTTGACAGACTTTGTTCCACTCAGATCTTAAGAAACTGTGCCACTGGTTGCATTATGGGAATTGTAGGATGCAGTTGTTTTTTTGGATTTGATCCATACTAGGGATTAAAAGTCAGCTTCTGATGAGTCTCTAAAGTCCCCCGACTTCATGCTCACCAGCAGAGACGAAATGAAGAAAGGTATGTCAGTCCGCGCATGACTCAGGCCTTTGGACAGGAACACAGCCACGCAGGTGATCTGAAACACACTCAGGCCAATCTGGGTGATCTGGGGACAGCAGAGAGGATACTTTATATGAGGTCACAGAGCTCATGGCATGTATAGTTTTAGGGAGACACACACTGTACCCCCAGAGCTTTGGGTTCAGCCTCCAGGTACTTCTCCTTCCTGTGGACGCTTCTCTGGAAGCTGACTGCGACCAGAGGGCTCTGAGCCGGCCCGATGCCTTCCTCCACCAATGCTGCTCCATCTGCAACAACCACCTCTGCTCTTACTTTCACCTCTTATATACTCACACGCATAAGACGCACAAGCGTCGGCGGAAATCAGCTTCAGTATCTCAAGCAGAAAACAATATCTGGATTTCATCACGCTGCACAAACTACATAGATCTCCATGTCCTTCTTTCCTCATTTCGACTTAAAAACTGTGATTGAATGCATTAACAAAGCATGTTTTTACCTGCCATGGTCACGATATCTGCGTTTACTTCCCTTTATTAAAAGTTGTGTAGCGCTCCGAGGCTGCTGGTCGGATGTTTAGCAATAACTGATTTGGGAGTTCCGAGTCCCGCCCATGGATGTATTATAGGTCCCGCCCCGCGTCTGTCTGTCACAGCAGCATGACTCCTACGGCACGTCTTCTCTCGGAAACACGTTTCAAACTGGGATCATTACTGGCTGAGTGGTGCCAATTAAACTTCAGTTACATTTCTGCAAAAATCTGCCAATCAAGTTTTGCCAAGTAAAAACAAATCTTACCAGAACAATTTAAGTTTAGTTTGTTACTTTATTTTCATCTGTAAAAACAACATTCTTCTAAACAGGAAGTAAGTTTTATTTTCTCCATGCAATCTAAACTCAAGGTGCATACATGTACATGTTGTTAGCAAGTTATGCAAAAAATGTTTATATATATATATATATATATATATATATATATATATATATATATAT